CTCTTCAAATGGGGAAAAAGGATTAGAGGTTACACCAATTGAAAAAAAAGCTACCAATCTAATAACATACATTTTCGTCCTACATTCTGTCCCATCAGAATAAGGCGACATGTGAAGATCACAAAAAACTTGATATGAAAGTCATAATTACGGTTATGTGATGAAATTTCAAATGGTTAACAACACATTTGAATATCCTAACTTATCATTGCTAGCTATTCATAGCCAATGATGAAATTAACCTTGGTTGATGTGTCATTTGGTATTCAAAGGATCAGACTGAGGGCCACAAAAAACTAACGATTATATGAACGTTGTAAGATGAACTCAGTCAGCACAGAAATTTCATGTAACATGAAAGGTTCAAAGCTACTTTAATTCTGATTTTCAGTAAAAGAAAGTGTTGTTTGGCTATTCTTGAAGCCTATGATTATTAGCTAGGAAAGTTGGAAATATCTATTTTCATTCTTTTTTATCTGCATGTGTCATTGTCTTGTTGAGTCTTGTTTTTCCACACCACTTTATAATGTTCTCTCCACTTGATTATTATTCCTCTTATGACTTATCTTTTCCCTTTAGGGTTCTTATACTGCCCCACCGGTTTGGAAAATGTGCTTCAGTGGTGTGCTTTTATTCTGAAATTTGGTGCTTCTACAATGTGAAGTGTGTTTACAAAAGATAAACTGGTTTGTTTAAATCAAAATAGCTCAATCAACTAGGGCAAAACAAAGAACCGTTTGGACACTAAAAGTAAAGTTTGTAAAAACGATTGTTTAATCATTAATTGACTAATAGTGAACTCATCACTCTTACTCAACTATTTAATTTTTTCTGTCGAAGAAACATGCATTTTCTTTTACATGGACATTGACTTTTTGGGATCATAAAAGTAAAAAAGAAAAAAATGTAATCAATATAAAAATTGATTTGCACAAAAGAAACAAGTTATACTCAAATCAAGCTTTATTTTAAAAAGAGAAAACTAAAAACCTCTGCTCTAAACTCCAATCAAGCTTTATTTTATTTAAGTTGTTATGCTATTTTTATAACAAGTTCTATAAAATGTTTTTATAATTTTTTTTCATATAATCATATTATTTATCTTATGTTACATTTATTTTTCTTTCGTTCCCATCTCACTCTTAATAATTAAAAATGTTATAAGAACGTATCGTAAAAATATCATTATTCTTTTGCTTTCTATTCTTTTAAATACTTTATGATGTATTATAGTGCTCAGAACTTGGTCTCCCGTGCTGCAAAGTTGTGAAGTACAATTTATGTCCCTTAAACAGTGAATCATTGTGCCCTGCCAAACAAAAATGTTTTTTTTTTTTTTTTGTGGTATTATTAAAGTGGGATATACATAATATCAATTTTTAAATATTTAAACAATAGATCTGATTCAAGACAAAATGACGATCATGATGATATCTAATAAAAAAAATTATGATGGTTGATCGTTTATGATATTTTTTTCTTATTTTAATGCATCTTTCTACTGAGTACATAGCCAAAATCCGTATAGCTAGTGAGAAACTTTTGACAGCTTGTGCATGTTTTTCAATAAAGATTATGTTTTTCTTTTTAAATTGAATCAAATTAATTTCATATAATTGAAATGCATTTATAAATTAATTTGAATCATATATATTTTATTAAAAAATGTAAAAATTAAAATTTTAACTGTTAAACAAATAAATTTAATATATTTTTAATTAATTTTTTAAATTACATGTAGCTTTTATAAAAGAAAATCTTTGAAGCCGAATAAAATTATTATAGGTTCATTTTTTAAGTATTTAATATATTTATATTTATTTAAACTCAAATTTGACTATAACATGCCCGCGATTTACATATTAATAAAGAAAAATATTCTTTTGTAATAGTTCTGTATTTAAGGTTTAACTCATTGTCCGTTTGTTTCTTCATTTGTAATAAAGATAGATTAGATTTTTTCTTCTTATTTGAAACAAACTACAAATGCATGATGGTTAATGGAATTTGTAAATTAAAAAATATATAAGTTTTGATTTTTTTAAACAAACATGTTTAATATAATATAAGCTCAACATATTTGTCTCTCAAATTGTAATTATTTGTATTTAATTTCTTTAATTTTTTAAATACTCAAATAAAGTCTCCATCCAAAAATTAAGATTTTTATTATATTTATAATCTTATTTTATATTTTTATTTATTTGTATAAATTAATAAAATATATGATTCGTCAAATATTTTTTTATTTATTATTGAAAAAAACTTTAAGGTGGAGAACTTTATTTGAACATTTAAGAAATGAAAGATTAAATGTAAGTTATAAAACTTAAAAGTACACATACATTAAAAATAAAGACAAAAATATATAATTAAATATGTAATATAATTATTAACACATTCATGCTATCAGAATCACTTAAACAAACAAGTGGTAATGTTTGGAAACTTAATTGTTTTTCAATTTGAATCTGATCTAAAGTCAAATACTTGATCTTTACCACCATCACTATGCTTGAATCTGCATCTACCACAAATAAATTACCACCCAAACTCGTTTGAGATTCAGTTGCAACTCTAAACATCAATTGTTGCACAAACATTCTTTCACTACTTGATAATTTTGACATTCTTAACATATTATCAACTTTATTAAATGTCATACATATTATATAATACTAGATAAAACTCTTTAATCCATGTATGTTATCTTATTATCCTTTACTCTTATTATAGTCAAATTTTCACCAACTTACATGTTATAGTATTTCATGCAAAAACAATACTTTATGAAGAGTACTTGAGTACCTTGAGAAACCACACGCAACCCCTTTCAATCTACTCTACTTGGAGCTTAGACCATAACCTAAACAAAAAGCTACAGTTAATAATATTAAAGTAAATGCAAACTCTGCATAAAAGAAATCAAACCTATGCTAATACTGTTGATTTTCTCTTAAGAAATCGATTTCATCCAAATAACACAGACAAAAAAGCCACTTCTCATCCAAAAGATTATTCTCTGACTTCCCAATAAATTTGTGAATATTGCGAACCACCAACTCACGAGTCACATACTTCGAATCATAACATCATTGAAAGAAATCAGCAGCACACGGACAATAAAGCTAGAGAAAATCATCATCGCTGATTTTTCTTTCATTGTTCATATAAATTCAATAATCAAACAACAAAATGAAGCATTCGTCAATTTTGCTCTCTAGTCAAACACCTCATTTTTCGAAACCAAGAATCCAAGTTCATCAACGAGAAGAGGAAACAATGATCACGAGAATCTTCGGCCATGCATTAACTTTTAAGAGTGAAAACGCCCACTTATATGTTTATTATTGTTTAATAATTTTTTGTCTAAATTATTTTTATATTATAATTATATTAATAGTAAAAATATATATAATTAGATTGACAATAGACACTCCTTGAAAACAGATATCTTTTTTTTTTATTGTTATTTGTTTCTAAGATAAGTTTGATGACTAACAATTATAAAGTGAATATATATTTTTCTTTATACATAATAAAAAATGATATATTTATTGATTGATATGTTTATGGAATTACCTTATTTACCAATTATGCAAGAGTGCAAGACTTGTTGATAAACATATATCTTGCTTTAAAGTTGTTGGGTGAGATTCAACTCATTGAAGTATTGTCCCCCTTTAGCAAAATTGTTGCGTGAATGGCATCTTTTCTTTCTCAAGTATATCATTGCTATTTTATTTATTTATTTATATTGTAGTTAGATGGTGCTTGGATTAACTTTATGTGCATCGATCTTTATTAATTTACCACTTTAAGTTAATAAGTCAATCATATTAAAATTTGGAAATTTGCAAACATTTTATCTTGTAACATTTTAAACAATTAGCATAAATAAGATTTAAATTTATAATCGTATATCTTATATATGTATTTTATATTTGTCCATAGCGTTAAACTAATTTCTTGGCATTATCGTGTTAAAATTTGACTCCTCTAAATCAAGAGAGTAAATAACCCAGGCCTGAGGTTGGATAATTTATGAAAAAATAAAGAGTAAAATAATTAATTTATGTACTATATTTAAAAATAATAAAATTTTAAAAACAATAGAACATAAATTAAATTTATTTTATAAAAAAAGTTTGATTTATTTTACTTTCTTATTTTTATTTTTTTTTATAAATACTAGTTATTAAGAAGTTAATTTAAGTTGAACACATACATTGATTCAAAATCACATGTTACGAACTAAGTTCAACATATAGTTACTTGATTTTCAAAAAGTTTTTTGTGCGTGTCTGAAAACATATTTAAAAACTTGTAAATATAAATTTAACACGTAAATTATAATTAATAATATTAAAATAAACATAAATTTACTTGTATCTTAATGTGAAACAAAACACAATATAAATCTAAATCTGATTGTTTCGTTTTAGTGGCAAAATCGTAACCCAAGCTGAGATTTGAAGTGTTTATCTTCCTTTCCTGCACTGCATTACCAGCCTTACATTAATAGGTAAATGTTAAAAAGCATTCACATCGGAGCATGTTTTGAGGATAAAAAGATTATCCAATTGGAAGTAAACTCTGGTCCACTGCATTTACTGAAGCCAGATTGAGTGCGGAAACGAATAAGCAGTTTAACTGAAGATCTAAATAGCATGTATGTATTAAAACCAATTTTCCAAAGTTGTACTAAATAATCATTTCAAATATACTAATCTAAAGACACTGAAAAGTTCTCCACGCCCGTTAAAGCCCATGTATCAAAAGTGCAAGCCAAAGCTTTCACCAACAAAGCATTAAAGCAAAGTAGGTAGGCCAAAGGACACTCTAGTAATCCCAACTCCCAAGTTTCACTTTTTCTTGGTATCAATTTTTGTTCCTTATACTAATAAATTCATAATTTCCTTATAAAATGGAAGCGGAAATTACCAAATGAGAACACTTTTCAGCAACCTCTCCATCTCATTATAAAATTCCCTGCTACACTCCTACAACACTTGTCCCATTTCTCTCTCTCTCTCTGAAATGGAAGGGAAAGTAAAAAATGCATTTTTCTCTTCCTTATTGGCGGTGTTTCTCTGTGTCAACACCGCTTCCGGTGACCCATTTCAGTTCCAAACCCATACTCTAGTCCTCCGTTCCCTCCCCCACACACCACCCACACTCGCTTGGCCCGAATCCGAGACCAAAGGGTCGGAACCGGATTCCTCCACTAACCTTTCCTTTCAACTCCACCACATAGACTCTCTCTCCTTCAACAAAACCCCAGAACAACTCTTCCACCTTAGGCTCCAAAGAGACTCTGCCAGGGTCAAAACCTTCACTTCCATTGTTTCAGCAGCTCTCAACAAAACCCAAGTTCCCGGATCCGGGTCGGGTTTCAGCAGCTCCGTAATTTCGGGTCTCGCACAGGGAAGTGGCGAGTACTTCACGCGCCTGGGCGTGGGCACGCCCCCGAGGTACGTGTACATGGTGCTCGACACAGGAAGCGACGTCATTTGGCTTCAGTGCGCGCCTTGCAAAAAATGCTATTCCCAAACCGACCCGGTTTTCGACCCGTCAAAATCCAAGTCCTTCGCTGGAATCCCCTGCGGGTCCCCCCTCTGCCGCCGGCTGGACTCGCCGGGATGCAACCAGAAGAATGCTTGCCAGTACGAGGTCTCCTACGGCGACGGTTCCTTCACCTCCGGCGACTTCTCCACCGAGACGTTAACGTTCCGACGCACCGCCGTGTCGCGCGTGGCCCTCGGCTGCGGCCACGACAACGAGGGCCTCTTTGTCGGCGCCGCCGGTTTGTTAGGTCTGGGCCGTGGCGGATTTTCTTTTCCTAGCCAAACCGGAAACCGGTTCAACCAGAAATTTTCTTACTGTTTAGTGGACCGAACCGCTTCCGCTAAACCGTCTTCGGTTGTTTTTGGTGACTTGGCCATCTCGCGAACCGCCCGGTTCACCCCTTTACTCAAGAACCCTAAGCTTGACACCTTTTATTACGTTGAGCTACTAGGAATCAGCGTGGGCGGTGCGCCGGTTCGCGGCATTTCGGCTTCGCTTTTTCGGCTCGACCCGACCGGGAATGGCGGCATTATTATCGACTCGGGTACGTCCGTGACTCGGCTAACTCGCCCTGCTTACGTGGCGCTTAGAAATGCTTTTCGGGTTGGGGCGGCACATTTGAAGCGGGCACCCGAATTCTCGCTTTTTGACACGTGCTTTGATCTTTCGGGTCTGACGGAGGTTAAGGTTCCCACGGTGGTGCTGCACTTCCGGGGTGCTGACGTGTCATTGCCCGCGGCCAATTATCTGATTCCGGTGGATACCAGTGGGAGTTTTTGCTTTGCGTTCGCCGGAACGATGAGTGGGTTGTCCATTATTGGGAATATTCAGCAGCAAGGGTTCCGGGTCGTGTATGACTTGGCCGGTTCTCGGGTCGGGTTTGCCCCGCGGGGGTGCGCATGAGTGAGTGAATGTCAGTTAGGGACAAACTCTTTCTCATGTTTTTTACTTAAAAAAAGATTATTGGCTTATTTTAATTTATGTGGAATTAATAGAGATTAGAAAAGGTAGATGAATATGTTAATCTTGATATGCATTATGATTTTACCTAATGAAATGCTTGTATTAGTAGTTCAATACAGGGTGATTTGCTGGTTTAATGTCTCAATATTCTATTACCAGGTTTCTTGTCTCTTGTTTCTTTTAACGTTGTTCTTTTGTGTTGTGTTTTTGTGATAATATCAATCGCTGAATGTTGTTAGACAAAATAGGTTTTCTTATTTTGGTTTTGTTTTGTTGGCTTCGGCAATGCGTCCAAAGATATTTTAATTTCACTTGTACGTGCTTTCTCCGCACATTTGTGTTGTGTTAATCAAGACTCTGATGAGTAAAGTTTCAATAGTTTGATTAGTTACTCAATTGCATGTTTTCTATGCGGTCAAAAGCCAAAGAAAATACTTATTTATGAATTTTAAAAAATAATATGATAAGTTATAATGCTTTTTCAATTCACTTTTCATTAAAATTAGAGGGGAAAAGGTGTGAGATAATTGACAGAATATCTAAGAAAAGAATAAACTAGTGGTGGACGCGTGGATCGCCAATCACGGAGGCCATATTCTCATTACTTTTCATTCCTCAGATTCTAAGATGCACTAGAAGACGATAAAGTGTAAGATAATGACAATCCATTAGGAAACTAATTATTAGAATTATCATAAAATGTGTAATAAATTATAAATTGCTAATATTTTAACTTATTTTTTAGTTAATTGATTACTTTTCTGCATCACCCTTTATTTTCATAGTGCAGTACATCGATGCCATATCTTCAACTCTTTCCTTTAATAAGCTTGCATTGCGCGTTTCATATTTCCTGCATTTTGAATTCTATCAATTTCACGATCCACAACTATGTTCAATAATAAAGTAAAAAAGAAGCGTAATCTCGATTTCCTCTGATAAGGTAAAACATAGGGAAAATATCCTTAATTTTTATCCACCAATTGTGTAAGATTTCTTATAATAGGTGGAATTACGATAATGAATCCTTAATATTAACCAAATGTTCATAATACAAATTTTGATTTAAAAAACATCGATAGCTACCAACTTCTAATTTATAAGTAATACTTTTTAAGCTTTAAATTCAAGTTCAGGACTATTATATGATGTGATGATTTGCATGTAAAATAATATTTTTCTTTTAAGAAATAAGCATTATACGGAGAAATTTAAAATATTAAGATAGCTTGATATTAGTTTAATCCTAAGATTGAGGAGAAAGCTCGTAACTGTGATATGATGTAATGATTTGCATGTAAAGTAACCTTTTTTTTTATTAGAAATAAGCATTATACTGAGAAATTTAAAATATTAAGATGATTCACTCAATTGTTATTTCAAGATAGTTTTACCGAAATAAATATTAAGAATTTTGAAACATGAATCTAATTTTAGAATAAAAAAGAGTGAAAGAATTACAAATTAGAGTGATTTGATTATTTAAAATAAAACTCTCTTAATTATAATTTTTAAATTTGTTGCTAGCTGAAATTTGATATCTCAGTAACACATGCAAAAATAGTTGAAAGTTGGGTGCTAACATTACTACTATTCACAATAAGTCAAAAAAGGAAGCTCCAACGAGGACATGCACAGAAGGCACAGACAAATTGAGAAAATTGTCAACTGGTTAGTAGCAGATAGCTTAGGAAAGAGCAAAGCAATTGTCTCTTTTCCATTTATTGGATTATACTTTTATTTTATTGATTATCAGTGCAGGGAACACTGACTCTGCACCAGTGATACACTTTTCTAAAATCCCAATAACAAACCAAGAACCTGCAATCTAACACCCATCAGTGCAATGAGCTTTTTATTTCTTCTAAAAGTTTCTTAAAGCTACTTCAAATGGTATGGGAATGATTGGTTTATTTTAATTATAAAATTATCACTTTATTTTTATTTTCAGTATTTTTTACAAATATTTAAAAACAAAATATAATTTTTTTAAAAAAAGATAACAATTTTGTATTTAAAAGTTAAAAATAAACAATATTTTTTGAAATCAAACAATCTTAAAGTATCCTTGTTTTTAGGTGCAAGGTCACAGATTTTCAATTTTCATTATTAATGCGTTTACTATTATTGTCATAAAAATAATAATTTCATTTAAGTCTTGGGGAGATATTGCAGCTATTATTATTTTAAAAAATATATAATAATAATAATAATGATTTAAGGTTATAATTGTAAACATCCTGTGATAAAATACCATTACTTGTGTTGCTTATCTATCTGCATGTATAATTATGTACCTAAAGAAGAACCACCCTAGGGATATTGAAATGAAAAATACAAATAGAAATTGTTCATGTTATATGAAAAACACAGAAGCAAGGGTTTAGTTTCGGTATCTTGTTTGATTTTAGAGAATATTTTTGAGATGTGTATATTTAAAAAATGCATCAAAGTAAATGAATTGTGTAAGATGACAATAAGACCATAATTGGTCTTAATACTGTACCCTATGATTATAAAAAAAAAAAAAAAAACCAAACAATTGTCTATGGAAGTTTATATTTAAGTACTTAGGAATAGAAAAATAAAGCTCGAGTTAAAAATATACCAATACACAATTTTCTTCATGATTGGACGTATAGAAAGGACGAAACATTGGTCCAAATATCTTAATTTTGCATCTGATGTTTAAAGAATGAGTGTGCGTGTCCCCGCAAGTTAATCATGCATGTGAAATGAAAGGCTTAACACTTTAATTATGGAGCAAGTTAGACAAAAGTCTCAAATTTGCATTAAAATATGCATTGTATAGAAAAAAAATCAAGTCCAAAAGACCTGTATCTACTCTTTTGTAAAAAATCGCTGTTCTTTCTAATTCAATTCTCATGACACTATGCAAGAGAACAAACAATTAAGCAATATTGCAATGTAATTAAAAACAAATCTCTGGATTTGTGCATGATTGGTACTAAAAAAACTCCAAATTTACTTCAACAAGAAACTCTTTTTCGTACCATATGACCTTGCAATAAATCAAGATATGTAAAATCCTACAGAACACTTCCAATTTTAGTAGAGCAGATTATAATGCAATTTACAGGAACTGTTCTCATCCATAAAGAACTAGTTTAGTGTTATTAAAATATGGGTAAGATATGGTAATTGGGTAGAAAGAATAATTTTTTGTTTGTTTGTAAAATATGGAGAACTGAGATCTGCAATATGCTGAGAATTGAAAATGAATAATCAATCGAAATCAAATTGTTCAAGATAAAAGACAGAACCTGCAAGATGGATTGGTCAGGATAGCTAGGGTAAGAAGCTACTGTCAACAAAATATATTGAGTTTAAAGACAAAAGGAAAATTCAACACAGAATCTATCGGAGTTGAAGTATTCATGAATGTAGATACAGTGTGTTAAAAAAAAACACTTTTAAAAATGTTTAAAACGAACAACTAATAATATTAAAATAAATGTGGAATCGTATGATTATGATTTTAAACATTGATTATGTTGTAGGTTAGTCGATCTTTGATTATCATTTGGTAATGCAATTTTCTTTTATTTTATAATTACTTGTTAAAATAATTTTTGGGGGTCTATTTTGCTAAACATTTACTTGGTTAAGCGGTCAGAAAATTAAAAATAAAATGTTTTATGGCCCAAATTACAAAGTATTCTTACTTTTATTCACATATCATCTAAAATTAGCCGAAATAATCAACATCTCTAGTTTTGAACAGATTTCCCACAGGAGATTTAGTGGAAGAAAAACAAAAAAGGAAATATAGAAACATACAGCTTATTTAAATACTTATTTAATATTTTTAAAATGATGACTTATGTTAAAAAGTTAATGGTAAAATTTATACTAAGAAGCTTATTGAAATAACTTAAAAATAGTTTATGAAAGTTATAATTTTTTTCGTAAAATATTTATAAGCTCTTTTAAAGAGGCTCAATTAGGCTAACTCAATTGAGTATATTAAAATATGAGTTTTGACTCTCTTTTTTGTCAAAAAGTTTTGAACTTTAAATTTTATATTTATTTTTTATTTTACCCATTTGCATTTTTCTTTACATGTTTGGGCTGAATTTGGGTTCCACTTTTATGGGCCTTAAAGAGTAGATGTTTTTTTTTATGTAATACGATGGAATTAAGTTCATATTGGCTGACCCAAATTGGGTCCGGGAACCCATTTTACTGCATCTAATCTCGGTTCTTTGCAAATGACGACATATAGTTGTGTTCTTTTACTAAATTTCTACAAATATAATCCTTAAGACTGATTTTAAATAGGTATAAATAAAAGTTTTTCTAATATTTTTTATCTTAAAAATATATAACTGTGTAGATAATTCATTTTTTATTTTTAGTTTTGGTTGTTTAAAAATCGGTTTTATCACTAGAGGAACTTTTGTTTCTCTACTGGATCTTGGAGCAAGCGAACTTGATGCCATTTTCTATAATTCGAGTGTTGCTGAATTTTTGTTGGGCTTGTTCCTCACTGTTTATTTAACCATGGGTTCTATTAATGCATTTCACTTTGGACACATTTGACCAAAAGAGCGAAAAAAAGGGAAATTAAGCATAAATGAATATTTTTTTTTAACAGCAATCGTAATAGATTACACCAATCCTTTAATGGATTTTTACATTTATCTTTTTTCTGTAAAGTAATTTTTCTTATTTTTATTTTAAAACAAAAAATTAAGAAAAATAAGCATACATGTCATGTTCTTATTTTAACAGAGAATGAGTGCAAACTAAATATTATTATTGTTTTTTTTATTTAATCATATCACATTAATAACAATTTTCAAATAACATGTAATGTAACCATGACATGAATCGTTAACTAATAATAAATGCCACATTTAAATAAAAATTTATAAAAACTAAACCAATAAAAAACCTTCAAAAGACTAAATCACATTAAATAATATTTACATAAACTAAAATTATATCTTATTAAAAAATGCTAATTAATGTTTTAAGAATATTAATTAGAAAATACTAATATACCCTAATTTTTAATAATTTTTTGTTCATTAATTCATTGAAAAATATTTATTTTTCATCGGCTATAGGCGAATCCCACTATGGGTGAAGATGTTATCGTCTTGGGGTTTTAAGCCTCAGCCAATTTACTCCAATCTCATCTAAAAAGGTTTTAGCAAAAAAAAGAAAAAGTTTTAAATTTCTCACGAAACCTTCATTCAATTCAAACATGCCCTCATCACTTTTTTCCATGTAGCTTCTGTACCTTGTTCATCCATGGACACTCTCAACATTTCAACCTCCACCAACTTTCCAATCCCAACCTTCTGCCACCCCAAACTTCTCAACCGAAAATTCCCATCAACACATAACAAACCCAAAACCCCATTTCACAGAAACCCTTTTTCACTCTATCTATCAAGTTCCACCGCCAGAAAGTTTCAAACTTGGGCGCATTTTGGTCGACCCACTAACCGCCGCAACTTCCTGAGGAAGAAGCTCCTCCATGATCACCAGGTACGCCCTAAGGATGACCCTTCTTCTGTTTCCGGTTGTGGGGTGGAAGAGAGTGGTGATGGTGTTAAAGGGGTATCTGTTGTGGACAATTTAGTTGAACTGGAAAAACCAAAATCCAAACATTTGGGTGAGTCTGTTTTGTGGAATAAATTGGAGAATTGGGTCGATCAGTATAAGAAAGATATTGAGTATTGGGGTGTTGGGTCTGGTCCTATATTCACTGTCTATCATGATTCCCTTGGAGGTGTCAAAAGGGTCTCAGTTGATGAAGAAGAGATATTGAGAAGAAGCAGGGTTGGGAGAGATGTAATTGAGGACTTCCCTCACGTGAGAAGTAAAATTCTGGATGCTAAGAACATGGCTAGGGAGATGGAGAATGGGAATAATGTGATTGCAAGGAATAGTTCTGTGGCTAGGTTTGTGGTTCGAGGTGAGTTGGAGGGTGGTTTTGTTAAGGCTGTCCAAGGTTTTGTTTCTCAGCCCAGATTGCTACCAAAGCTTTCGGGGGTTGGCAGAAAAGTGTTGTATTGCTTGGTTGTTCTGTGGGCTGTGAAGAAATTGTTTGCTTTTGGAGATAAGGAGGTCCAGTATTCAGAAATGGAGAAGGAAATGATGAGGAGAAAGGTAAAGGCGAGAAAGGAGAAAGAGATTTTGGTGAAGGGTGCTGTTGAAGTCATTCCTGAACCTTCGGAGACACCAGTGGTAGATGTAAAAAAGCCTAAGTTAGATAAGGAACAACTTAGGAATAATATTCTGAAAGTTAAGGCTTCTGCTGATAAACTTGTTATCAAGGATTCATCCGCTAAAGTGACAACAAGATCCATGGATATGGACTATAAAGTTCAAGAAATAAGAGAAATGGCTAGGCGGGCACGGAAAATTGAGGGGAGAGATCATTCCCCAATTAATAGGGATATGGAAATGGAGGACCGTGTGATTGAGAATTCATCCAATGAGGATGAAGTGGTAAAAAAGGGTAGCGAACAAGATAACAGTTTAAGTAATCATCCAAACGAAGTTGCAAGGAAAAGTATAGATAGTAATCCAATTCTGCAACCAACTTCTGTTGATGTTGCAGAGAACATTGATAATTCAGTACTGTATGAGGTGCTTCCTGCAGATGCACACAATTCGTATGCTTCAGATGTCATAGTTCCTGGTGATATGGAAATAAATAAAGAGGAAACCGAATTTACTGAAAACAAAGTGCATCTGAAGAACAGAGAAAACTACAAACCCTCAGATATTCCCATTAGTGGCTCATCTATGATAAATGAAAGTTCTGTGAAGAAGAAACCAAGGATCATACGATCTGTTAAGGAAGCTAGGGATTATCTTTTGAAAAAACAAGACAAACAGGATCTCGACACAGAATCCAAAACTGAACTCATGAAAGAAAATATTGCTGATTTGAAGTCTTCAAGTGTTATTGATTTGAATAACCAGAAGTACCAGAATTTGGAGGTGGACAAAATAGTGTCTAGAAGTGACACATTAAATGGAATATCAGATTCTAAGCCTGTCATAAATGCTAGTGAAGATTCTAATGAGAAGGACGAGGAACTTAGCCCAACAAAGAATGACTATGTCAAAGATTCTGGTATTGAACCTGGATTGGAAGACCTTCAAAAGTCCCTCTCAACGAAATTAGACTGTGAAGTTAATGCCAATGGTACAGAGACAAGGCTATCTGTAAAGCCAGAAAATTTGCTGGAGAAAAACCTCCACGAAGTTGAGCCCATAGTTGAGCAAATTAGAAGTGATACTCTAAATGAGTCATCAGATTCTAAGCCTGCCACAAATCCTAGTGAAGATTCTAATCAGAAGGATATGGAGTTTGGCCTAACAAAGGATGATGTCTTCGAAGACACTGGTGTTGAATCTAGCATAGGAAATCTTCAAAAGTATGACGCCACTTTAGACCATGAAGTTAATGGCATTGGTAAAGAGACAAGGCTATCTCGAAATCCCGAAAGTTGGCTGGACAAAACCTTCCATGAAGTTGAGCCCATAATTGAGCAAACTAGAAGTGATACATTAAATGAATCATCAGATTCTAAGCCTGCCACAAATCCTAGTGAAGATTCTAATAAGAAGGATATGGAGTTTGGCCTAACAAAGGATGATGTCTTCAAAGACACTGGTGTTGAATCTAGCATAGGAAATCTTCAAAAGTCTGACACCACTTTAGACCATGAAGTTAATGGCATTGGTAAAGAGACAATGCTATCTGGAAAGACAGAAAATTGGTTGGACAAAAACTTCCATGAAGTTGAGCCTCTAATTAAGCAAATTAGAGCAGGATTTAGAAATAACTACATGGCTGCAAAAGAGAGAGTTGATCAACCTTTAGATATACCCACTGAGATGGAATCCTTCGGAGGTATTGAAGATGGTGGAGAACTTGACTGGATGCACGATGATCATCTCAGAGACATTGTCTTTCGAGTCCGCGAGAATGAATTGTCTGGACGGGACCCATTTTATTTGATGAATGCTGGAGATAAAGAAACATTCTTCAGAGGTCTTGAGAAAAAGGTGGAAAAAGAAAATACAAAACTTTCTCACATACACGAATGGCTCCATTCAAATATTGAAAATATTGATTACGGAGCAGGTAGTTATCAATTTCTAAAATTATATGACATAAGAGAATGTGACCAACTTTTAATTTCTTGAAATGATTTTACAACTTCTTTGACTTGTTCCTAGTAGCAAACATTTCTTTTGAATAATTTTAAGTATAATCCTAATAGTTTGTCTTTGATTCTTCTAGATGGCATTAGTATATATGATCCACCAGAGAAAATCATACCACGCTGGAAAGGGCCTCCTGTGGAGAAAATTCCTGAGTCTCTAAATGAATTCCTTGATCAAAGAAAGACAAGTTCCACCAGAAATATGAACCTGGTGAAGAAGGATGAGAGTGGCTTTGCTAAAAAATCAGCTGATTCCTCTTTACAAGGAAAGGTCGATAGTTCTATAGAACGTACTAAGAAGGTGAAAAATCCAAAGACTGTTATTGAAGGAAGTGATGGTTCTGTTAAAGTTGGCAAGAAATCAGGGAAGGAATATTGGCAGCACACAAAGAAATGGTCTCAAGGTTTTTTGGAGTCTTACAATGCAGAGACAGATCCAGAAATTAAGTCCATAATGAAGGATATGGGGAAGGGTTTGGATCGGTGGATCACTGACAAAGAAATAGAGGAAGCAGCTGATCTAATGAACAAACTACCAGATAGGAATAGGAATTTCATGGAAAAGAAACTTAACAAGATTAAAAGAGAGATGGAGTTGTTTGGACAGCAAGCAGTGGTTAGCAAATATCGTGAATATGCAGACGATGAAGAGGAAGATTACTTGTGGTGGTTGGATCTTACACACGTACTGGTATGTGTATATGTATATTTTTCTTAGTATCAACTAATTCACTAAGAAGCATGAAATTAAGGATGAAATATCAGTGTTATGTTCTTGAATGTAACTCTGCTGGATCAAATCTACTTATCCTCTATGATTGGTTTTGATTTGCTTTCTTTTTTCTACCTATTGATACTGAGTTAATTTGTTCATTCTCTGTTAGTGCATTGAATTGTACACAGTTGAAAATGGAGAAGATAAAGTAGGATTATATTCTTTGGAGATGGCCGAAGATCTTGAATTGGAACCTAAGCCATATCATGTGATCGCTTTCCAAGATGCTGGTGACTGCAAAAATCTTTGTTACATCATTCAGGCTCATCTAGAAATGCTTGGAAGTGGTCATGCCTTTGTTGTTGCACGGCCTCCTAAGGTATCTAATCATGTGCTTTGATTGGTTTTTCTGTGTCACTGCAAAACTATTGTGCAATTAATATGCAACCATGCCCTTTGAAAATGAAAACTTCCGCATTCCTCTTCGGGGGTAATTAAATGAATGTTTTCTGAGCTTTTATTGCACGTTATAGGATGCTTTTCGAGAAGCTAAAGCAAATGGATTTGGTGTTACGGTCATCAAGAAAGGTGAACTTCAGCTCAATATAGACCAACCACTAGAAGAAGTGGAGGAACAAATTGCAGAGATTGGCAGCAAAATGTACCACGATATGATGATGAAGGAGCGATCCGTGGATGTAAACTCATTAATGAAGGGTGTATTTGGTTTTAGTGACCGCTCCATCAAGAAGAGGTATTCATTTGCTTTTTAGCTTCATAATTCAGCAGTGGAAATTAGTATGGACTATGCAACGCATAACATACACGTTTAGATTTGTCAGGTTTTCATCATTGTGTATACCATATTGAGTGATTTCATTTGTCTCTTAAGGTTAAAGCGGAAGTTGAAGAAACCCAAAAAGGGATGATGGTTCTCAAACTTTCAACAATATGACACAGTTGAAGACAGTGAAACTTCTCTACCCCAAACATTGAATACGAAGGCTTACATATTTTGTATGAAGCAAGCGACTTGTTTCTAGAACATATATTTCTTACCAGATTTTACTGTACTCACGAGGAGATGGAGACAGCATGTCATCATAAGTCTGCGCAGTTGAAGAAAATGATGTCATGCATGCATGGTGAGCACGTGGTGTCATCCTTTAAACTTTTGTACTTTGTTTTTTCCTACAAATCACAATTTCTTTGTATATAACTGAGAAAGAAGTAGTTATGAACTTATTATATTAGAGCTCCACCTGTAGAAAAAGTAAGAAGTGGGGCTTTTAATTTTTTTATTATTAATCTGTAGGATTTTGCTCCTTTGCTCCATTTCACTAAAATGCTGTTTCTATTGATATGTAAAGAGAAACCTTTTAACAAATTCATTCAAGTTTGACTGCATATCCTTTTTGAAAACCATATGATATACAGTCATGCATTATCTCAAATTAAATTGACTCTCATTTACTAAAATACTTTCATATTCTAACTAATCCCTAGTAAATGAAAAAAAAAATGTTTGTTTTTACTTTTTATGGTATTAATGTATTTATCTTTTAATTAAATGCTTAAGTTGTAAAAAAGGAGTATTAGGAGCATATTTACTGACCTAAAATTAACAAATATCCAAGTCATCGTTGTAACTTTGGCCATAATCTATTGTGAGGGCCAAAATATAACATTCTCCAGAACTGTATATTCGCATTGCATGCATAGAAATTTCGTTGTGTATAGAATGTGGAATTTTATCAGCTAAACGGCCAACCACATGGCGTGAGTAAATTTATTAAGTGCATAGTTATGAAGATTTCGTTTCTCCAAAATCTCATCCTTTCTGGAAGGCAAAGTCAAATTGCCCGGCGCTAGCAATTCCCTCACATCTTATCGGTTGCAGTGTCCCTGCCACGATGCCACCACCAACCTTAGTAGAGCATAATATAAGAAAACCGAAAGTATAAGAATTATTCCTTGGCTCACGTATTACAAAATTTTTGTAAGCAGCTGCATCATAATAAGCACCTCCACAGAAGATAAATGTTTTGGACAGCAATTTTGCACAAAATGGATATTAATTAGTTTTCAGAGCTATTAATGATTTACATATATTTTTTAAAATGCTTAATTTGTAAAATGCTCGTGAAAGTTAAATATTGCTTTGGCGCCACTATGGACTCAATTACTCACAGCATGCAATGCCTGAGCAAACTTCTAGGATTAACAAGAGTGAAAAGCTAAAAGAAAAAGAACAAAAAAACGACTGTTCTCTCTAAATTTGTTTTATCCATACACATGCTTTTCAATTTCTCACGTGCCTCATTTCACTTCAACAAAGTGCAACACGCCTTAGAAATTAAAACATAAAATAGTAAACTACAAGTCAAAAGGTAAAGGATTTGTCTTCCTTTCCTGGATTGAAATGTTAAGAGGTAAAGGGAAAACGTAAGGCATGAATTTGTGAAATGTTGGAAAATACTAAAAGTCAAAGACCTAGGGAGTGTCAATTACCATGAAATAATGAAAAAAACAATCATTTGAGCTATAGATAGATATGTACTAGAACACATGTATACAGATTTATATAACAACTTCAATTAAGAAATGGAACTGGTGATCTCATCAAGGTGCTGGTCCATGATGTCAGAAACAGCATCCAGAAATGTCGCTTCACTTGTGCCAGGAAGAACAGAATCCAGAGCTGCTTTTACAATGCCCTCAATCACAGATTCCTTGTTCAAGGATTCCCTGCACATAAGGCTTCCAATGGCAAAAGGGGTCATGCCTCTCACAACTCCCTTCTTTAGAAGCATGGTTGAGATCTGAAGAGTGCGTGCGCATTCAACTGGCAGATCCCATCCATGAAACTTCAGAAGGGAAATATCTTCATCAGCATCCAGTGACTTTATATAGTGAATGATCTCTGGAGAGTATGGCTGGCGAGCTTGAGGCCAATAAAGCCATTCAAAGGTACAATCTTCAAACTGTTGGAACATCAAAAACCCATCAAATGACCAAAGTTTAAACAAGATCAACGGAAAATATCAGGAGTCTATAAAAAATAGAAACTTCTGAAAAAGCATGTTGTCATTGTCATTAAGGTAGTGATATGCTATGATTGAGATTCCATTATTTCACCCCACCCCAAAAAAACATTCTAAAAAGAGCTCCTGCCAATAAACCTTTTGTAAGTTATAAATGAAATTCAATTAAAAATCACATCAAGAGCTGCAGACTTCTGCAATCTGTACATAAAATAGGGTTTCATTAACTTCAATCTTTAGGATTGAGTTTAAGCATCAATAAATAGAAAGTTTTTATGGAAAAAGAAGACATTTATTATATTAAGTTATAAAAGTATAACAAACACTTCTCTTGTCAATAAAATTTTACTATTATTAATTGTTTATCTTTAATACTAAGTGCTGAGGTTAACATTTTTCATAAAACATCTACCTCCCAAAGCAAGCAGGAGAAAACCAAAGTTTTTACACTTCACATCAATAGAAAAGTAAAGTACCATCACATGCATTAAAAGAAAACACATCATCAACAAAATTATAGAGAACAACTGAACAACAAAAATAAAAAATAAGGTGCTTACACTGGTAGGCAAGCAGTATCCATGATCAATTGGAATCAAAACAGCCTGGCCATTTTCCTCCTCTTTCCCAATCAAAATATTTCCGGCATGCCTATCTGCATTTGCTAGTCTAATGTCCAGCACAGTAATTTTATGCACTTCCTTCACTGGGAAAGCCCCAGGACCCATATCCTCACAACTTCCATTATTCTCCATGAACATTTGCAAGGAGCCAATCTTAGCATTTAAGTCCCCTGGATGATTAAATCCTTTATGCAAGCACTTAACCATAACAGTTGGGGGAACCCCAGCAAAGCCCTTCTCATCACCAAATAATGATCGGCGTCCACTCATTGGATGGTCCAAAATATAAGCTGCAACTTCCCTGAATGCTCCTTGACCAACTCTTGTACCCTTCTTTAAACCTTCACCATCTAATGACAAAGGCAAACCTCTAGGGTTATTCACAGCCATTGGCTCTTCATCAATGGGCTTAAAAACAGATATATACTTTTGCCCTGTTGAATCAAGCATAAAGTAAGCTCCTCCTGTACCCTCTGCAGATCTGATTGGATAATTTCCATTATCTAGCCCTTCATATGTAGAGTTTATCATATCCCAAATCTCTGAAGCTAATTCAATTTTCGGGTTAACAATAACTGGCTCCAAAAGAAGATCTCTATCCAAAGCCTTCCTACGCACAATTGGCTCAAAGGTCCCATACTCCCTTTTCGTATCTTGTTTACCAACATCATATATTCTCCTGTTATTATTTTCACTAACATCATAACTTTTTGTATCATTCAACTCTTTTACCACAACGGACAACTCATCTTGTCCTGTCCTAACTTCAGCATATCTCATTCTAACAAAAAGATGAATCACTGCATCATTATATTTGCTGCAGATATCATCAATAAGCCTCTGATCCTCAAGCTGCTCCCCATTACACACAACTTCCTGCTGTTCAGGATCAGCAAACCGCTTCTCCTTTTTCGCAATCTGTTGCTTAACATATCCAACATCTCTGCATCTTTCCACCTGAAAAGTAAACTCCTTCCCACAAGAAGTCCTCACACTGATAGTCTGAAGATCTGACAGTCTGATTACCAAATGCAAAACATTTCCTTCCGTAACCCCATAGTCCTTCAGTAGAGAATTGCTCCGTGCTAACTCCCGGCCATCACAAACCAACTTTTGTTTGTTTGTCAATGAAGGAAGCCCCTCAGCCCTTTGGATTTTGAGTTTTACCGACTCAATGGTATCGCAGGGAAGAACACGCATCGGAGTCAAAGATCCCGAATAGGATAGATATATGAAAATGAACTCATCATCCAAAGACAAGTGCAGTGGGGTATAGAATCCATTTGGAGACAACAATAGCTCCTTTGGAACAGGACTAAGGGTGGTGACACCAGCAGATGACATTTTCAATGTTGATCAGGAAATGAAAAGGCAACAAAGCTTGAGGCTTTGACTTAAGCCTGAACCCTAACTCCTACTAGCAATTTTCACAACAACACAGCCATAGATTTGTACAATTACAGCTACCTGGGAGTGATGAAACACCAACCCAGATGACTAAACAAGCTCAAAAACGAAACTTGGAACAAAACACGCACAACAAGGAACAATTTTTCGATAGAAATGATGAAAAATTCCAGACCCAAGCCCTAATTTCCCATCATTTCCTCAGTAAGCCCAGAATCAAACCAACCCAGCACCCAAAATATTTCTAATTCGGATCAAATCACAAAAGGGTCAGAATGAATTGCGAAAAAACCCAAAGTAGAAAGCAAATTCTTACCCCGGAAGCAGAAAGTCTGAAGCTTTGGCACCAGTAATAGGAAATAACGAAATGGGGATTTTGTTATTCGAGTCGAAGGAAGAAGAGTTCTGAATTCAACATTCGAAAAACAAGGAAGGTAAAGGTTGTTATTATTGACTCTGACCCAAAAAGAGAAACACAAACGGGAGAGAGAAAATAATGGATTGTGTAGTAAGATAGACGCGCGTAGCCGCCTGTTATAGTATACGTAGCACTACTAGTATACATCTTTGACGAAACAAACGTGGAAACGAGTGTTCATAATGTATACCGTACACCTATACGTAGAGAGAGAGAGAGTGTGCTAATTTTTTTTCGTCTTTTTGTCCTTTTCTTTCGGAAATAAACTGTGATTATTCCCATTAACGTGGAAGAAGCCGTTACGTTACAGAATCGAGTGCGCTCCGTCTCACTACAACCATTGAACAATGTAATGGCTTTTTTAATGTTAGCAATGACAGTGACATCATTTTCACCGTTTGAACTTTTAACATCTTCCGTATATCATGTCGCTTACGCTTTAAAAGGGAAATAAATTTTGTGTCCTTTACATCTCACTGCTCACTTTTATATTTGAAATATTTTTTAAAATGAATGTAACATTATTATATAATAGTGTATAACTAAATAATAATATATACATTTTTTACATTATTATTATATTTAAATTAAATTTTATAAAAAATAAAAAAATTATATATATTAACTTTAAGTTGTTTAAATAATAAAATTATATTTAAACTGGTCGTGACACTAAACATGATGTTTAATGAACAAATGTTTACTAAATATTAAATGAATTTAGTTCATTTTAATCTTTAAATTTAGGTTTAAATATCATAAGGTGGTAAACATTTATTGAAAATAATATATTTATTCTATTAAATTATAGAAGTATAATAAATATTTGTTTTTTAATAAATTATTGTTAGTAAATGTTTAAATTTAACTGTTAAGACTGCAACTAATAATTTTTATATTAAATAATTATGATGCAAAAACTGTGCTTAAGTATACGTAGTTAAGAAATAAATCACATTTAATGATTAATTAATAATGCTAAAGCTTTGATATATTTTCTTATGCATCTTTTTAATAATTTTATTATTATTCTATAAATTAAATATTAAATATAAAATGCATATATTTATTATCTTAAAAACATTAAATATTTCTATTTAATAATTAAAATATTTATAAATATAAAGTAAGAAAATTTAAAATCATTTATAATTTTTTTTTGTTTTTATGGGTAAAAATAATTAAATTAAAAAGTATTATTTTTTATTATATGCTTTTTATACATGATAAAAAAAATTAATATAATTAAGGAAATGAATTCTCTTTCATGTTATAAAGAACATGCACTCTCATTCCAATATCGTGATTCTGTCGTAAAAGGAAATTGTCTTAACTTAATATATTAGTAGAAGAGTGTTAGAATATGTATTTTTCTAACATACTATTTTTAATTATCAAAATTTATTAAAAAATATAAAAGTACTAGAGAATTATTAAACTAAATATAAAAAAACTGAAACTTACCTATTTTATGATTTTAAATAATTTTTATTCAATAATTAAAAATATTAGAAATAAACTTTAAATTTAAAGATTTGAGACAATATATGGTTTTAAAATTTAGTCAAACTGGGAGGGAACTTAATTAATGTATAATGTATTAAGTATCATTGAAAAATATTTTTCTTACCGTAATCTCTTCTTTATTTAAACATTTAACTTCTTCATCATCATTTAACATAACTTCTTTCTATTGTAATTTTTCGTTTTAAGTTTCAGTTGCTATTATTTTCAATTTTACTACTATTGTATTTCTTCTATTTAATTTTATAAATTTATCTTTACACATTAAAATTTGTTCGTCCTTCGAAATATCTACCCCACTCCTATGTATTAAATTATAAATACATTAAACTAGTCTATTATTCTATAAAAATAACATATATTTTATTTTATTTTTAAATATTTTAAATTATTTGTGGACATATGCTTTAAATCTAAATACAAATTTTTAAATTTCACTTATTTATTTGTGATTTAAAATTTTATTTATATTTTAAATCTAAAATACCCGTTTAATATCTAATACTCACCAATACCCTTTAACTTACAGAAAAAAAAATCACGCAACTTGATCGATTTTATAATGCCCGACAAAATAACAAAAAAGGTTTTTTACACTTCATATATAATCGTTAGACATAAAATACAAACATGACAATTTTTTACTCGTTAAATATATAAATTAATAATAAAATAAATTAAACGAATAGCAAGCATGAAAAGAAATTATTTAAAAATACACAGTAATCAATTGAATTTCGTTTGAATTAACAAGCTGTGTTAAAAATTTTATAAACATAAATTTTAAAAAAATTAATAGCAGTAAAATAATCATAAATGCACATATTAAAAGACTGCGGAAGGAAGAAGGGGCAAAACGGTGAATAGGCATATAACAGAAAGTAGCATAGGAATCTTTCAAAACGAACATTTGGAAAGTTTGTTCAACAGTTTCTTCTTCATTTGGCGGTTCAATCATCTTTCTCTCTTACAAGCTCCGAGTTAACTCACTCTTCTCCTACAATGGAGAATCTGATTCAGTTGGTCAACAAATTACAGAGAGCGTGCACTGCTCTCGGCGATCACGGCGAGGAGAGCGCCTTGCCTACTCTCTGGGACGCCCTTCCTTCCATCGCCGTCGTCGGAGGACAGGTCTCTCTCTCTCTCGCTCGATTCGAATAGCTTAAGGATATATATCTCATTCATCATCATCATTATTATTAATCGTAATTATTATTTTTATTTTAATTTACGCGATCGTTCTTCTACTGTGATGTTTTTTATTTAGCATTTTCCGTTTTAGAAATTGAAATTCAGCCTTTCTTAGTTCCTTCCTGTTCAATTAAATTCTGCATTTGTTCGGGCAAATCAATGTTCATTCGTCGTGAAGTGTTTTTATCAATCGTGTCATCTTTTCATGAGTCATCTTTACGTGTTTTTATCAATATGATAATCTCATTGGCAATTTCTAATTTATTATGGAAAATTTTCTAGAACGCAAAAAAAAAAAAAAAAAAAGGGTAAGTAGATAGCTAAGTAGTGATACTGGTGCGATGCCTCTGTTCAAGTGAAACCTCTACCAAGGACTATTTGTATTTGGATTTTGTTAGCAACCGGTTTTTCTATCATTGATTATTTAAGGTACTATAATTTAACTGCATGAATAAGCAGTAGAATGGATTAGTGTCTTAATTAATTGCTAGAGATGAAGGGTTTATAAAGCTTATTTTTCATTCTGTTATTATTTTTTGTGAACGTTTCAATTTTGAAATTGATTCATAAGTTGTAGATTAATTCTTCAATTATTATCATTTAATTCAAACTGATCCAATCGCTTAGGAATTTTCTTCTTTATTGATCAGTTGCTTATTGTATCTTGTGATCCATTAAATGTAACATTGTTAGATTAAAGCCCCTGTACTCTTCTTCGTATATGGCATAGACGGTGCAAAGAAAGAAGATTAAAATCTATGTTTCTTCAAAGATAATAGCTGATTAGTTTTTCTTATTAACTTTGATGTTTCCATTTTTTTTTTCTAGTTCTCAGAAATATACACAGTTTAAATTTATCCGTTATTTTAAAACTTTGCAGAGCTCTGGAAAATCTTCAGTATTAGAGAGTGTTGTGGGAAAGGACTTTTTACCTCGTGGATCTGGTAATTTAGTCTGTTAATAGTGTATATTTAGTCATGTGCACCTTATGATTGTTTTTCTCGCTCTCTCTCCTTGATGATTTTCTGTATAATTGAACCATTATTTTATGCAGGGATTGTCACGCGGCGTCCTCTTGTTTTGCAACTTCATAGGATTGATGAAGGGAGAGAATATGCTGAATTCATGCACCTTCCAAGGAAGAAATTTACTGATTTTGGTATTCTGTTAAATAAAACATTTCACGCACATATAGTAGAAGTTAGCAAGTAGCTTTATCTCGATTTCTTTTAGTTGGTTATGATGATTTGTAGAAGCGTGTTAACTTTATTTTTTTGGGGGGAGGGGGGGGGGGTGGTTTATCAAATTTTGTTTATGAAGACCTCAATAAGTTTGTGTTAACTAGTTATTTTGTTGTTGTTATGACCTTTATGCTGTTGTTTCTCATGTGGGTACATATTTTGTCTGTTCTGTAGCTGCTGTTAGGCAGGAGATCTCTGATGAGACTGATAGAGAAACAGGTCGCTCCAAGGGTATTTCATCCGTTCCCATCCATCTGAGTATCTACTCCCCTCATGGTGAGATATAAATATTAGCAATTAAATATTATTTTATTTATCATCAATATTGTGAGAACGAAGAACATGCATAATGCAATTATTTTAGGTTTGAAATAATCAGTTGATTGTCTGTTTCCTATTGCCATCGCATTGACTATTGCTATATTTATCAATGTTTGTTTGCTTGTAGAATACAAAACACAATAATCATTTTGTTCTACTTTAGCACTTCATGAATGCGCATCAATTTTCTCTTTGTTATTTTTGGACTCAAAAACATGGAGCAATTTGGTTTTTCTCATCAAAGAATTTACATATCGATGACTGTCAGTACCACTCTCTTTTAAAACTGGAGTTGGATATCAATTACTATTGTTTGCTTCCACAATTAGCTATGAGTTACTTTTAAATTGTCAATATTTTGAGAGTATAAAATTATTTTACCTGGTTACATGGAGCTTCTTTTGCGTGATAGGATTCAATTAAGGTATGAGATTTGAATCTCACATTAAGAGTATGAGACACTAAAAAAATAAAGTTTATAAGGCCTAAGACTAACTACAATGACTAACTCCTGTGGTGTGATTATCTCAAGGTTCTTATTAATGAAATTGATAGAAATTGGTTTAGATATATATTGAAGAGAGATTATCTTTATTGATAAAAATTATAGTACAATCTAGGTATTCGAGGGACGACGTCCTCTCCCAATGTCCAAAGACCCCAACCCTCTCACAAATGACAAGATCCCCTCTCTCAACCTCTCTTCTTATTTATAAGCAATCTGCCATAATTCTTCTGTCAGCCAACCGACTAAGAAATATAAAAAACTAACTCTCTACACACTAATTATACCTCTAACTAACTATGTGTTACCTATCAATCTATCATAGTGCTTGTTACTCTTTTTTCTTTATTCAGATTTTATTATTCAGGCACCCATTTCATGCATTGAATTTGTTGACTTGGCAGTTGTCAATCTGACACTGGTTGATCTTCCGGGACTTACTAAAGTCGCTGTTGGTGAGTTTCTAAGATTGACTTTTTGCTAGCCAGTCAAAGTTAAAATTAAATTTCCCAGCACAATTACATTATAAATACTAAGAGTAATGACATAATGTTGCCCGGGATATTGCAGAGGGTCAACCGGATAGCATTGTGCAAGACATTGAGAATATGGTTCGGGCCTTTATTGAAAAGGTAAGTATTCTTATATACAATGAAATTCAATCTATTAACGTGCATGGGTACAGGAAAGATTTTAATGCATATGGGAACATTTATTTGTTATAAGGAAAGAGAATTTAATTGCAATCTTTGAAGGACTGTATTTAAACATCAATTTAATACTCAGAACTCTATATTTAATTTAAGCCATCCATCCAGATGCCGAGCTCCTCTCACTCTAATAATAGATAAATGCTTCTCCATTATTTATTTATTTAGATACGCTTGAGCTCCAGTGGTGCAAGCTAAACTTCCTGAGCATGCTATTGAAAGTAATACTAAAATTTATTACCTATCGCAGCCGAATTGCATCATTTTGGCAATATCTCCTGCCAATCAAGACCTTGCTACCTCAGATGCAATTAAGATTTCCCGCGAAGTTGATCCTAAAGGTAAGATACTCAACAATTTTTTTGTGATAAAGCATTGTTATTGGTAGCAATGTGTTATTTGAAGTTAGCTGTATTAAGTAATTTTAATAAAATAGCTGAAGCTGAATGAGAGTGTGAAAGATGTTGAAAATAAAAACCTAGAAGGTTCATAACATCTACTGTAAATCACAGTATTTAGCTGATTGATTATGTCTCGTGTTCGGCATCTTAGTTCAATAAATTCTAATCTTTGTACAGAACGTCAATTACAAATTTCCTTGACAAAGAATGGTTAGGATTAGAATAGGTAATCAACTTTGTTGAATACCAAATTATCTGAATGAGATTCTATGTAGTTATAGGTTCAGATACATAGCAAGTATTAAAGTTCATGGGTGTATCTTTTTTGTCATGGTTTGGAGCAATAACTTATGATCAGATGCTTAGACTGGTTGATGTCTTTTGAGAGATACAGTAGCTTAGTTTCTTCTTGAAGTTTCTACGGTTGCCTTCTTACTGAGCATCAGATTTTTTAACGTTTTATTCTCACTTTCGTGCCACTTGATTGTCAGTGTCTCAATGTTATTTGACCTTTATATAAGTAGACAGCTCAAAGAACTTATACGAGAAACTGGCAAGATGATTAGATCACCATGTGGCTGAAGATCACTTGTTTATGAAAATTGTTTTAATTTTCAGGGGAAAGGACATTCGGAGTTTTGACAAAGATTGATCTTATGGACAAGGGTACTGATGCAGCTGATGTAAGCATTCTCTTGCCCTTCTCAATACAGAAATGACAGGCTATAGTGCAAGGTTTGCCTCGGGAAAAACTCTTTCCTTCCTGGTGTCCTTTGACCAAGAATTCAGCATGGGAGGAGTAATTTTGTTGTTTCAGAAAACTAAGATTACAGTATAAAATTAGGATTACGATTATGCGGTAGAGAAGTGTCACTTGAGTAATCATCATTTGGTAAAGGCATTGTTTCCTTTATGTTGGATACTTGGATATCTACCCAGTGGAATGGAGGATGGGGATATATCTCGCGCAAATTTAGTGTAACTATTATGTTTTGGTTTATATTTACTTTTACATGTCTCAACACTGGAGATGAAACTTAAGAACCGCCCAAGCAACCGTTTTCTCGAAGTTGAGATTTCCATTTTTCTATTTTACTTTCTTTTTTCTTTCTTAAGCTTTAAATTACTGGAATCAAATTTGTGAAGTTCATAACGTGGCTTCCTTTGTCTCCTGTTCCCTTCTCTAGATCCTTGAAGGGAAAGCATATAAGCTAAATTTCCCGTGGATTGGTGTAGTTAATCGCTCCCAAGCTGATATCAACAAAAATGTTGATATGATCGCTGCTCGGCGTAGAGAGAACGAATATTTTGCTAATACCCCGGAATATAAACATCTTGCTAGCAGAATGGGCTCTGTGCATCTCGGAAAGGTGCTATCTAAGGTATGCTGAATTGTGATCCTATTAGGAGGTAATACTTGAAATTTCTATTGACGCATTGACTCTGAAGGCTCCGGTGTTTGTTTCAAAATTGCTGGGTTATTTTCCTTTTTTTTAATGTGATATACGTTTAAATTTTCAGCATTTGGAAACTGTCATCAAGTCTCGGATCCCAGGCCTACAATCACTCATTAACAAGACTATCATTGAATTGGAGACAGAATTAAACCGTATTGGGAAACCTATTGCTGCTGATACCGGAGTAAGCCACTTCCATCCCACCCCTATCAACATTAGATATTATGGATTTCTAATTTATAATCCCTCAACCCCCGCCCAACACACACACACACACACACCACGCATTCGGATTTACAAGCGCACGAATAATGAATGTTCTTCATCCATTTGCAGGGGAAGTTGTACATGGTAATGGAAATATGTCGAACTTTTGATCAGATATTTAAAGATCATCTTGATGGCATGTATGCCCTTATTTCCATGTTATTTAGTCTATACAGCGCATTACATTACATGTAAATCTATCATATCTGACAATCCAATTTAATCTTGCAAATGATTGAATGTCTACAGACGGCCTGGTGGTGAGAAAATTTACCAAGTATTTGACAATCAATTCCCAGCAGCTCTGAAACGGCTGCACTTTGACAAACATTTATCAATGGACAACGTGCGGAAACTAATAACTGAAGCAGATGGGTATCAACCTCATCTTATCGCTCCTGAGCAAGGATACCGCCGTCTTATTGAATCTTGCTTGGTATCAGTTAGGGGTCCTGCTGAAGCAGCAGTTGATGCGGTATATATTTATATACAAAAATAAAAAATACTTTGCCATCAGTTGCGATTCATAACATGTTCTTTTAAATAAATTAAGAGTATTAATAATGAGAAAATTGTAGCTGACTTCTTTCTTCGTGTGTTTTCGACATGAGTAACCGAAACACCAGATTGACATCGGCATTACTTACCCAAGGAAAATTTGTATTTTATTTCTTTCCTTGCCCTGGAAACGTCCCTGAAATTTTTTAGCCTGGACTACTTTTTTAAGGAGAAGATGAAATCAAATTTGGAAAATTGAGTAGAATTTATTTGTCTTAAGAGTTATGCACCTAATACCTTACTTTTATAATGTTTTCAGGTTCATGGGATTTTGAAGGATTTGATTCAGAAGTCTATGAGTGAGACAATGGCAAGTAGCAGATTGATTATTTTATCTTTTATGTATATAGTTTTCAACAATCAACATGTTAAGCTTAAAGTTGGTATATTTTTTTCTAGTGTCTTAACGGTTGCAGTTTTCTGTCGATTGTAGGAATTAAAGCAGTATCCCACCTTGAAAGTAGAACTCGGAAGTGCAGCAGTCGATTCGTTGGAGAGGATGAGAGAAGAAAGTAAGAAAGCAACTCTGCTGCTGGTAGACATGGAGTGTGGCTATTTGACTGTTGAATTTTTTCGCAAACTTCCCCAGGACGCAGAGAAGGGTGGAAATCCAACGCACTCACTTTTTGACAGATATAATGATGCTTATCTTCGTCGAATTGGTAAGCAACTCAAATGCCTGAGATTTGTTAATTGAACCTTGAATTTTTATTTTTTTTACAAAAACTTTTATTCCCAGGGTCCTAATAATCCATATAACGAAGGGCCTAAAGGAGCCCATTAGCCACATATAGTTGTCTTCAACATATATTACATTAACCCAACACTTGTTCATGAAGTTGGAGGTATTGTTTTCATTTTTCCTTTACTGAGATTCCTAAAATATAAACAGCTACCACTGTCTTGTCCTATGTGAACATGGTATGTGGGAGTCTCAGGCATACCATTCCCAAGTCCGTAGTTTATTGTCAAGTGCGTGAGGCTAAGCGCAGCTTACTTGATCATTTCTTCACAGAATTGGGGAAAAAGGAGGTGAATTTTCCATATTGTTTTCCTCAATGAATGCAATAGGCATCTCTGATGAAAATGAATTAATCTTACTTTTGCATGATCTGCATATGGTTTTTCCAGGGAAAACAACTTGCTTCACTACTGAATGAAGACCCAGCAATCATGCAGCGCCGAACCTCACTTGCAAAGAGGCTAGAGCTATACAGAAGTGCACAAACAGAAATTGAAGCAGTTGCATGGGACAAGTAGAAAGCACCAGTGCTAGTTCTCAGTGTTTGAACTTTTTATGAGGGCCATTTTTTTTCTTCATTATCCGATTCTGTAAACATTGAGAAAGAGTATAATTTTTGACACGGATCGGTGAAGTCATTTTCATCTTTCCATTGATAGACTCATGCTCGTGGGCTTTGTTGTTCTTGCTGATGTAATTCAATTGTATTCATTTGTTTCTATCACTTTAATAAATTTATCATAATTCATATGTACTTAGCAATTGCTAACGCGATACGCGATAAGAATACTGCACCATATGAATATACCACCATTTAACATTTTTTAAAAATAAGGCAACAAAATTAGGGTATATTATGTAAAAAGAATAATATACATTAGAAACTAAAATAGATTGTTCATAGTATAAAATAAAAAAGAATAATGAATATTGAAAAATAATAAGAAGAAGAATTTTGTGGATAATTAAGTAATATGAAAAAAAAAATTAAGAAATGGAGGTGCGGAGAATCGAACTCCGTTCGCATGCGAAGTGAGCGCTCTACAATATGAGCTACACCCCCAATTGATGTTAGTTACCCTTATCCGATGAAACATTTCGACCACCCACCCCTCTTAACTGTAAGAATAATTATTGCCTGGCATTTATATTTTGAGTGTAGGGTGAGTGGAAGAAAGAGAGAGATATAGAAAGAAAAAAAAAAATTATAATTGGTTATGTAATAGAAAGAGAGAGAGAAATAAAATAAAAAAGTAAATATATAAATATATACAAATGTCAATACTAGTCTTTAAGATTGAATCTGTTTTTTTCTCATGATTTTTATTTGTTTTTTAAACTTAAAGCCTAAAAATTAAGATTAACAAAACTCATGAATAAAATAGAAATAATTAAAAAAAAGTTTGTTGAACACCTAAAAGGAGATACCTTTAGATATTCTTTTGTATTTTAAAGGTAATTTTAAAATGCTTGTATATATATATATATATATATATATATATATATATATATATATATATATAAATTATAAAAAGTAATAAAAAGATAAAAAATAATTATATATAATGATATATACAAATTATTCAAACAATGGAACTAAACTATAAATCATATTATTAAGTTAATAGATCAATGTGTATCAAGTATCCTACACCTTAGCGGAAAGTATCTACTAATTGGTTAAGGATTTATCTTTTCCATAGATATTGTGTTTCTTAATTTTCACTTTCTTACGAAGATTGTACTTTGGTGAAAGTAAAATTAGTAGAATTATTAATTCAGGTTACTAAATTGAGATTGAGTCAGTTCGAATCCAGTAGTGAGTTAAGGTAAGTTGGGTTAAAAAAAACTCAAAATAATTCAATAATGATAGTCTAAATTCAACTTTTTACAAGTAACAAGCTTATGCATATATGTATATCATCTAATCATTTTTAACTTTAAGATAAAAGACTTTCAATTTAATGGTAATAAAGTGAAATATAGAACTATAAAAAAAAGGACAAAATTTAGATATTTTTAGTATTGCTTTTAATTTAAAATCAAATTTCTATTTTAATAAAAAATAAATGTATAATGCTATATTGTAAATTATTAAAATAAAATTTCATTTAAAATATTTTAAAAATTGTACCCAAATTTTATCTGGTTGTGTCATGAGTTATAACTGAGAAAGCGAGTCAAAATAAATTAAACGCAATGGAAATTTTTGTTTTTGTCAAAAGCAACGGATAGTTTTTGTTTTTGGTGTTGGAACTAGGAAACCTACGACGGGCCTTGGAAAGTCCAGTCCAGACCCAACTCAGCATAGCCCTTAAATAGATACAAAGGTGACCCTGAATAGAGATTTAAGCAATGGATTGTTTGAAGTCCAACAACAGAAGTTTTTAGGAAATGGATTGGACCCCTCAGGTCACGATAATGAATCAGGCCATGAGACCCCCCCCCCCCCCCCACCATCAACAACTTTTAAGGTTTCTTATTTTCTTACTCTCTTTTTGACAACTGTATAATTTTTAAAATAAAATATCACTCGTTTATGGAATACCATTAACCTTGATGGAGCAATTGTAGTGACAAAGACAGAAAGTAATTATATGATTTAATTTTCTAAAATAAAAAAATAATCAAAATGATAACTATTTTATTATACAGGTAATTTTATAAAAAATTTAACCATTATTTTTTAATTAATAATTATAAATATATTTTATTTTTTGAGAATTCAAATCCTTTACAAACATTTAAAGATGGAGTGCAGTACCCACGGGAGAATTTTGAGGTTGTCTGGTTTCTCGCGAGAATGAAAAGACAGGAACAGTGAAAAAAAGGAGCGAAGGCACATGTTGTGTGTCGTGGTCCAATGTCCATTTTCTCTCTAGAAAGAAGAGCGAGCTTTCCGTACTCCTTTTCATTATTATAATTTAGTGATACGATAGTCAACTTATACTTATAAAAGTAGTAGCACTTATATACGTAGAGGAAGTGTGCTTATAACGAACGTCATAATAATTTAAGCATAACTGTCAATTATTCAGGCGCCGTCCCGCGACTGATGGCTTATTAAGATAAAGAGGGCCCACGTTTTTTTTATTTGACTTGTCAGACATTCTCAGCCTCTCTCACTCCACTCACACTCTCACTCACTTTTCTTTCTTTGTACTAGTTAATAAATAAGAAAGTGTAAAAAAAGTGAGATAGAAAATAAAATAAAATAAAATAAAAAATATTTATAAAAATATTAATAATCTAATAATAATAAAAGAAACATATGTTGACATACAAGAGTATTAAATGGAGGGAGAACAAAATAAAATAAAATAAAATAAAAATATAAAGAATGATGTAATAAAAAAGCAAATAATATAAATATAAGTTATCATCATAATAATATAAAACTAGTAAGTGCGGCATCTAATCACGGTAATAATGTTAGATCTGTAGCATGGGTCGCATTTGTAAAAGATATTATTGATGTTTCAAAATTTTTTTTAAAATTTTTGACTTTGTAATAACACCTATGGGTCATAGTGTTATTTCTTTCCTTTAAGTTCAACTCTATCTCAAGATTCTACATTAATTATTTTAATTATCATTTCCTTCATTGTTGTTACTCAATAATGTTTATCTATTTATTTAGTGATTGATTGATAAATTAGACCAATTTTTATTCACCAATCACTATATATACTAAGTGAAATTAATTATTTAATTTCAGCGTCAAATTCAACTGGCGGGTACATTGGTGATAACGAGAGCAGTGATGACATGCCAATGCCAGAAGGTAAAGGTAGTTTCAGCTGCAACGAGGTTAAATATTTTAATGTGAAAAAAGGTCTAACTCAGCATAGTACTCAAATAGACACAAAAGTGAAATTAAAATTAGGCACACAAAATCGACCCTAAATAGAGATTTAAGCAATGGATTGGTTAAAAGTCCAATATGAGACCCCCCAACAATAACTTTTAAGGATTCTTATTTTCTTATTCTCTTTTTACAACTGTATAAATTTAAAAATTAAAATAAAATATTACTCGTTTATGGAATACCATTAACATTGATGGAGCAATTGTAGTGACAAAGAAATGATTTAATTTTCTAAATAAAATATTATTTTAGAAAATAAAATATTTTTAATATTTTTAAAAAAATTAATTATTAAAATGATAACTATTTTATTATTCATGTAATTTTACAAAAATTTTAACTGTATTATATTCGGTGATACGGTAGTGCACTTATACAATAGCTTATCACCAATGCAATAATAACTTAAGCATAACTGTCCATTATTGAGCTGCTGTCCCCCACATTGATGGCTGGTCCACCATTTTTTTTATTTGATTTGACAGACATTCTCAGCCTCCCTTACTCCACTCACACTCTCTCTCGATCTTGTAACCAACTTTTATGTCGGCAACTGTAATGTTGAGATGATTTCCATTTTTTCAACACACGAGTCATTAGTTTCTTAGATGTTATTCCTTTCCTTTAAGTTCAACTACATATTTTAATTATCTTTCCCTTCATCAGTTGTTACTATCTAGTGATTGATTTATTTTAAAACTAAAAATTACAAATAATATTTTCTAAATTGTTTTTAATAATTTTTTAAACTATTTAAAAAATTCAACATTGGCTTAATTAATAAAACAATTTTTTTAACTTATGCAACATTGCACAAGAAATTATACATAATAAGTTTTATTAAAAGCTACATAAGTTAATATAATTGAAGTTGTTAGGTACCTCTTTTCTCAATGATTCCTAGACAAAGGGAAAGTGACTTTTGATGTGGATGATTTCCACACTCGTCATTTTTAAGCTCGTGTACTTATTATATAACTTGTCGTACTTGTAAAAGGAAAGGGAAAGAATGTTTGATGAATAGCATGTGGTGCCTTCCCCTGTTCTTGCTAGGTTACGTAGTCCAACGCTTTTTAGATTTGATTCGCCACACACTTGGACAAGTCAAGGTCTTTTCTTCCTTTTTGTCTTACATACGAATTCTCTGTATATATACCCCCAAATGAATCGATGCTCTGCACAAAAATCTATCCTCTTTAATTTGCTCTGTTTCAAAGGTGCAATCGAGGATACTCCTAGCACTAGCACTCATGGCTGGAAGTCACCACCCCGGATTGCCTGGTCTAAATGAGCGCAGTCTTCCATTTCGGCTCATTTTGCCTGATCTAAATGAGCCCAGGGTTCCATTCGAGCGCGCTTGGCCTGATCTAAATGACCCCGTTCTTTCTTTTCCATATAAACCCACTTCGCCTGTTCGTAAGGAACCTGCTTTGTCTTTGCCTTATGTGAGTTTACTCCCTCCTCTCGAGGGTATTAATGACGAGAATGAACAAGAATCTGAAGAGAATGAGGTAGGTGAATGACGTGTTGTGTATAATTTAATATGCTTTATATTCCTCTCTTCGATTGCCTCTGTCTCTCTGTCTGTGTATTTAACTAATAGTGTGATTGATTGATTAATTGTTAATGTATGTGTTCGGCATCCATTCACCGCTTACTTACTCAATGAAATTAATTAGTTTCAGCGCCCAATTCCACTGCTGTTTGATGATGAAGAAAGCAGTACTGCTACCACTGCTGCCTCTAGGAAACGTACAAGAGAAAGAGAAGGAGAAGGAGAAGGTGAAGGGGAAGGTAGCTCCAAACACTCAACATGGAAGAAGATGTGTTATTCAGCAAAGAAGGCTGTTAAAAAGTTCGTCAAAGACACATGGAACTAATGTGTGATGATGTATGATTGGATGCACACGGAATAATTAAGCGCACGTTTATGTTTCTGTTTGTTTTTGTTTGCTCTTTAATTAGATGCTTTGGAGGGTCTACTGTGGAGTCTCATGTCGTTCTGTTTTATTACTTAATTTGATGTATTTGACATGATATTGAATATTTGTACCAAATTTGTCATATTATCATTATGTAAAAGACTAGTTTGGATATATCTTTTTTTTATTTTTTTAAAATTCTTCTCTTCTTAAATGGAAGTGAAAAGAGAGCTAGGAAATAAAGTAAAATAATACCCACATAGCAGATGCACCCTGCAAGATACTTTCAAATGAAAAAGCTTACTCCACCTACTTGGCTTTGGTGATGCATAATTAAGTAAAATGATGCTTCCTCTCCTCTATCACTTATCAACTGCTTCAAACCGACACCAATAAAAGTTGTGTTCGCTTTTGCTTCAGCATGAGATGCCCCATTCGTGATTTGTGGGACTCTAATTTTTCCATGGATTTAGAATACCTTTTAAATTTATCAGTAAATACTTTTTTTTATCACAAATTAAAAACTGCATCTTGAGAGAAGCGTGAGAGGATGTGGGATGGTGGGAAAGCATAGGGGATTTTTTTTAATTTCATTTTTTATTTTTAAAAATAGTGATAAAATATAATACATTATAAAATTATTTTTTATCAAGAAAAGTGTTATAATAACAAATATGTTTTAATTATTTCTTTCACTTTCTCTTTTGTTTATTCAAATAAACAAAAAATATATATTTTTGTGAAGTGTCCTAAAAAAAAAATCCTCTCTATCTCTGGATACCATATCTACCAATTATAGAACCTCTACTTACCAACTGCCGACAAAAATAATTATTAAAGTGTCATATCTTCGTTTTCTATTTGCAAAGTTTTGTGAAGGATGTATTCTTTCTTGTTTTTATGATTCCCTTCACAAGACATTTAAAATATGAAATATAAATAAAATGTTACCAACAATTTTACAATTACTAACAGTAGTTGGTTGTTTTGACGTAGACAGATAAAGTAAATTACAGAATTTAATTTTCCAAACAAAAAACTAATTTTGAAAGAATAATACAAATCATGTTTCTTGAATAGAAAATCAATAAATAAAATTATAACTACGTTTAGAATATACTGTACATATACTTATTTTTTTAACAATTTTTAATCGCTATTGTTTTAATTAATAATTATAAATATATTTTCTTTTTTCCTTTGGAGGACATTGAAAGGTGGGGAGTGCAACCCCATGCGGAGAAATTTGAGGTTGTCTGTTTTCTGATAAATATGAAAGACAGATAACAGTAAAAAGGAGATCTAGTTCGTAGGTTTTGTGTCGTTTGCATTATTGCCTTGTGAATCTGTTTGCATAGCTGTCAAGTGAGAAAGGTTATCAGTATTATAAATTTATTGTACTTTTTTATAAATTAGAGAAAATATTAAATTTTTTTGCATTGCTTCTTCCTTTTCTTGTCTTTTTTAAATTACTTCCTCCATGAAATTTTAAAAATAGAACATGAAAATGTGAGGTTTTAATAATTATTGATGTTGGCCGGTAGAGCTTATTTACTGATATGTATCTAGACAAAAGGGACAGCGTTTTAATAATAATTTAATGATAATTGAGGTTGCTTATATACGTTTACGGACTTATAAAAGTAGATGAGGTGCGCATTTAAATAATACTATAATAATTTAACTATGATCATTACTTACTCAGCTGAACGTGGTGCTTCTCGTGACTGATGGCTAGATTAGGTTCGGTGTTCCCACACTTTTTTATTTGATTTGTCAAACACTCTTCCTTTTGCTTCACTCACTTCTTCTCCCTTTTAGTTCATTCATTCCCGCTAAAATGGGTGAAATTTTGGTCAAAAGGTGAAAAAGGAGAGAAAATGAAAGATACAATAAATGATGCTATAGAAAAAAGTGAATATAAAAATATAATTATTTCAATAATAACAAAAACTTATATATTGACATGCACAAGTGTGTTATTGCAACTAAATTTGTTGAATCCCACATGTTTTAAACAGTACCCTTTGACAAGACAATTAGCCAGGCCGAATTAAAGTCGCACATTTATATGCAAATTAATAGTAGCATATAAATGTACTTACATAATCTGAATAATAATAAATAAATATTATAATAATATTCTATAAATATATATATATAAAAAAGTTTTCCGTTTTTTGTAAGAGAATAATATATAATTGAATAGTATATGCCATAATGAGGAAGGCAATTTAAGTATTAAGAATGTTTTCATTTAAGATAATTTTAAAAACAATTTCATTTAAAAAATAAGACTCACAGATGTAAATAATGTAATCATGTTTAACTTTAAGATAAAAATGTTTCATTATGTATATTTTTGGTCGTGAACCTGGTTTTTTCAAGTAGGTTAGTGCAAATTTTCAGAAATGAAATGGACTCTTTACGATAATGAATCAGGCCCACAACTGATCCATTATGAACTTTTAGTCACCGTTGCTTGGGCTTCGTACTTGCTCGTTCTTTGCACAGATGGCACTAGTATTTTTAAGCCTTTTCCTTTGTTACTACTCTTTCAAATGTTAAATTGTTAAAGAGACTTTTAAATTTTATTTTTTAAAAAGGAATAATATTTTCCACAAATTAATATTTAGAAAAATAATAATATTCTAGTGCCTTGTGTTTTTAGTGTTACTTGAATGTTTTTTGTGCTCGGGCCTTATGCTTCAGTGTTTTGTACCATCGACCTAAACAAAGATTATAATATACAGAGATACAATAATGCAGAAAAATAATACAATGACATTATTTGAAATGTTTAAAATAAAAATTAAAATGAACGTGTTTAATAATTTTATTTTTCTTTCATGTAATTCGGAATGCAAGATAGAATTAGTTTATTATTGATTTTTTTTTTTATTACTCCGTTATCTTCTTAAACAGTGAAATGAAATGTTCAATTGATCCATCTCATTACGAAATACCATTCTATTTTGTATCATTTTATTATATTCTATTCAAGTCACACAATATTTGAAAAAGGTTTGTTGAACTTGAATGTCATTACCAACATTATGCAAATATTATATATCACCCAAATCCTAACAGGAAACGTAATTCTAATAAAGTGAAAAAAAAGTTAAAAAATAGAAGAAAAAAAAGAAATATCCTTTATTTAATACAAGTAACTGAAATTAACAGGAAACGTCATCCCGTGCCTCCTAGAAATGGAGGTGCGGGGAATCGAACCCCGTGCCTCTCGCATGCGAAGCGAGCGCTCTACCATATGAGCTACACCCCCAATTGATATTGATTTAGACATACAATATATATAATTATTCGTTTTACTAATTCTCTTATACTGGACCATAATATATACCAATATATTAAAAATTATAAATCCTATGGAAATTTTGTTAAAAAAATATTTTGATTTAATCTAGTTATTTTATTTCGAATAAAAAAAAAAACCATGTTTCCTTGTTAATCTGCATGCATTGAGTTTCGACAAGGCAATGTCGTGACAAAATTTGGTTCCACAAGTACTATAATGTTAAAAAATCACAAAATTTTAGCTGGAATTTTTAGACATTATTTGAAAAAAATCCTTTAAATTTTGAAAAATTGATTATTTCTCCCAAATAAAATAAACCAAACACACATTAACGTGTTGTGATGGATCACAATCAAACGTAATCCTGCTCTGATAAATGTGTTGCATAACGAGAACATGAGGAATGTTCGCAAATTTAGCGCACATAACGCATGTAACAGAAACCCCTTAACGGATTCAACCTCCACGGTTTGACCACGGTTTATGCGTAACCCAATATTACAGCACACACACACCTGAGACCTGACATTTGTTTTCTCATTGCATATAAATATGTTCTGCAACTATAATTAATTTATTAAAAAAAAAAACCAGAATCATATTAAGCAGACGACTACATATCTTTGTTCTCGTTTGCATTCGGTTTAATTATTAGACCCTTGACTTGATTAATTATTTCAGAACTTGGAGTTGTGGAATAAATTTCTGTATTATTTTCTGGGATATTGTTGTGTTGATCATCTTGGTTGGTTTTCATGATGGAATGGTCTTCAAAATATGCTGCAAGGGCTTACCTAGATACCCTTCAACTGGTATTCACTTACGTCATTTTCATTTTATCTATCTGATTTTTTTCTTTTTCATTTCTCTTGATGAAAAATATGAATGCTTTGATGATGAATCAACTGAAGGGTGATTTTACATTCTCTGTATATGTGCTTCACATTTTTTTTCCTTGACAGAATTAAACGCGTTAAACAACCCCTTAATTTTTATGGTATTCCACATTTTTTACATGTTTACTAGCATGTTTGTTCTCTAGTTTTTTTTTTATTATTATTATTCGTTCTTCTCATTGGATAAGGCCTCAGTCTATAATCAATCAGGGTTCATCGATTATTTGTTTCTCTTTGTTATTGTTTACATAAAGTATATTGGAATCAAATTGACGTAGACCAATCCCTGCTTTGTGTTAGAAGTTCCATAAAGCATAAATCAAGTAACACGCGAATAATAAATGTTTGTATTAAAGGTCAACACACCTGCATTAAAGGTTAACACATATTAACAAGGTAAAGTTCCAACTTTGATTGGAGAATAACACTAATAGTATCAATGGTATAGTATCTAAATTTTATCTTTAATACACATTATTCATTTTTTTCTTATCATATATAAAAGGAAAATAATGCAAGGAATAATCCTTGATTTTGAGGAATAGATTGAAAGCAGGATTTGATATTCTCAAATCCTTGCAATCAAGGTGCAATGAACTTCATTGACACCTTCAAATAAGAGCCGTGTGATATTTTACACAATGTCTATATTATAACATTCCCTAATTTGTGGCATGTATTCCAAGTTTTTTTTACAAGTATTATGTTTCATTGTTCTTGACAGTGTAACAATCATAAAAGACAATATGGCACTTGGAGAATTCAAGAGCCAGGAAGAAATGAATTTGTATCAGCATTAGCAGCAGGAATGAAAGCAAAACTCATATTGGAAGTGACATCACGTGTATCCCTATCCACAATTGCCCTAGCAGCTGCTGCTAGATACACTGGAGGCAAGCTTGTGTGTATTCTTCCTGAGACAGTCCTTGATGAATCAAAAGAAGTTATTAACAACTCAGGGCTTGAAGACCAAGTAGAATTTAGAACTGAAGACCCCTCCAAGCTACTTCCCTACTATGAAAACATTGATTTCTTCCTTGTTGATTGCAAAGATGAAAACTATACAAGGTTGCTCAACTTGGTGGATGTAAACCCAACAAGATCTATAGTCGTGGCAAAAAACCTGGGTGGTGATGGTGATAAAAAAGGGCTAGGAGGGTATCTTAGAGTAAAGGACAAGAAATTAGCAGTAAGATCTCTAAAGCTTCCCTTAGGGAAAGGCATGCAAGTTACTAGGATTAGCAATAATGATGACTCTAATGAGAGACATGGGATTAGAGGAGAATACAGCAGGAAATGGAGAAAGAGTTCATGGGTTGTCAAATATGATGAGGAGAGTGGTGAGGAACATATATACAGGGTACCTCAGGTTGATTGGTTCTGGGGTTAACATAGCAGCTTCCAAATATTGCCAGAAGGAAGAAAAAAAAAAAAACTTGTATTTTTGGTGTTATAAGTGCATAACACCTTGTTGATAAATAATATGCTGAGCCTAAGAAGTGCATTAGACTTAGTCAGGAACCATGTAGCTTGTGTCCTGTGTAGTTGAAAAATATGGGATGGCATATTATTTTGTATCTAAACTCAAAATTAATAATCTTTGACATAAAAACCAATGCTTAAATAATGTTAATCTGGGGGAGTGCTTGTGTTGCATTCTAAGATTTAGACATTTACCTTCCAATTGTTTCCTTATATATTTATTCACATGCATTCAAATCCACCAGCAAAATTTTATCTCAGCACTGCACATGTTACTTCCATGCATTAGATTCCCAACCATCTGTGCAATTCTTTTTCCATCAAGTCACCAGCAAAGGCATTTTAAACAATGTCTTGGATATATGCATGCAAATCCCTTGACCCTTTTTGCCATTATTTTCTTTTATAGTTTTTATTGCGTTCTACTTATTCAAAGAAAAAAAAAATCTTAGAAAGCAAGAGGACATTTGTTCACCGTTTGCCTTGAACCCCTCCTTTAAAAAAGGGAATATAATCAGTATCTTGTAGTCTTGTAGCGTTTATGTCTTCTGCAAACAGTTTGCCAACGGTGCATACATTCATAATTCATATTTTAAAAAGCTAAAACGAGAAGGAATAATTGAAGAATTTTGACGGATAACATTATAAATCATTTTATGGACCACGGATCTTGTCCAAATGCAAATAAATCAACACCCGCTTCATAATTTATTTAGTACATGCCAACCCCAATTTAAAATCCAAGCATAAAGTTAATAACAATTTTTTTTTTGGGTTGGTAAGACAAGTTTTATTTATGGCGTGTTAGTCCAGTTCAAGTTGCTACAAATTGTCAAGCAGATCTTGTTCCGTTGGAAGGAAAGTTACTTCAGCCGTATGATCCATTACATCCATTCTTATGATTGAAAGTATGAACACTGGAATGTATAATATTTGAGAATGAATGAATATGGAGATAACAGGAAAAGGTTTCAAAGTAGAGAAATGATGCTTGATGTTGAGTTCTTAAGAATATAAAGGAGTGATGATTACCACTTTGTACCAACCACTATCCCCCACTACAACCACCAAACATAAACCTTCAAACGCAAGAGACTTCTCAGCTGCCTTGGTAGGCACATTTCCTCTCTTATTGGCGAAGTTTGTATCCACCATTGCTCACAGGCTTGGATCTCACTTGATCAAGTCTATGAATGGCAAATATTAGATCTTGGACTCAGTTATGGCCATTTTTTGTCAGGCTGTGTATTCTGAAACTTGTCGTGGATTTCAAAATCTTAACATTGGCGTATGACAGTGGAAGTAGTGGTTTTGCAGCAGGAAATGCTTGCAAGAACACAAATTATCAAAATTTCCTCCCTCCACCGTACCAGAATATATCCCATATGATATGCACGCCTGTATGGCATACATATGAGTTGAGGGTAAGTTCATTTGGTTGTGGTCTTGTGGTTTTTACTTCTACCCATTCAACTATTCTTGTCAATTCTTGATTCTTGAAACTTTTTGACTTTGATCTGGTTTACGTTGACCTCATGATTATTCAAGTTCAGAATTTTTAAAAATCAAAAGCTGTTTCTCAGACAACCAAACCAAATCTAAAATCTAGCTAGAAATTTATCGCTATGTTAAATTTATGAATGCCTGGGATGTCCCTTTAAAATCTAATAGTTTAGTATTGATCTTTTATTGCAGTACATCCAGAATGATGGTACCACAACCATCTTATTATCTGCTCCCTACACTATAGGGTGGGTAGGAATTGGATTTTCTAAAGATGGTATGATGGTTGGTTCCAGTGCAATGGTGGGATGGATTAGTAAACATGGTCATGCAAAAATCAAGCAATTTTACTTAAGGGGTAGGAAGTCATCAGAAGTCATTGTAGACAAAGGTGAACTACCTCTCAATAATGTGCCCGCGGCTGTGGCAACTAATGGGGCTGAAATTCATTTGGCATTTCAGTTACAGATGACAACTCCGCTTGAGAGACAACCAATTCTATTGGCTTTTGGCAGTAAATATCCACAGAACCACCACCTCTCCAAGCATGAAGACAAAACAGCTATTATATTTGATTTTTCTTCAGGTCTAAAATCATTTCTTTATGACTCCAACAGCAGTACAGCAGATATGTCATTTTATAATTATTCTATTATGTTGCACATTTTGACAGCTGTTTGCGATTCCAAAAAGAAGACTTCTCTTCACCTCCTTTTTAGCAAAAATTCGTTTCAGTGAACCACATTTACATTTAGTAGGGTAATATTAATTTAAACAATCACATTTCAACTCAAAATTACCACTTTCTGCAATTTTGAAAATTAGTTTTGTTTGGAGGATCTAAATTTGAATCAGTCCATCTTTTAATCAAACAAAATTTAACATTATTTTGGCTATATTACTCCATGACAAAACATGTGTAGCATCTTGTGACATATAACTTCTCGAGAGTAGAAACATGATCAGCAATACTTCTCACAGGCTCTTCGGGTCCTGTATCCCATGAGTTGATTCAGATAAGGAAGAACCATGGAATAGTGGGTATAATAGGGTGGGGTCTAATCCTCCCCGTGGGGGCAATTGTTGCTAGATACTTCAAGCATAAGGATCCCCTATGGTTCTATCTCCATGCAGCAATTCAATTTGTGGGATTCACATTCGGGATTTGTACAGTCCTTCTTGGATTACAACTCTATTCCAAAATGCATGCCCATATACCAGCTCATAGAGGCATAGGCATCTTTGTCATGGCACTAAGTATTCTTCAGGTTTGTCATGTTCAATCTTCGACCTATCACTTTGTTAAGTACAATTTGAACTGACTTTAAAGCTATGTTCAGATATCGGCATTCTTCTTGAGACCAAACAAGGATTCCAAGATGCGAAAAATTTGGAATTGGTACCACAGTTGGTTTGGAAGGTTGGCACTTTTATTTGCAGCCATTAATATAGTGTTGGGAATGCAAGCTGCGGGGGCAGGAAGTGATTGGAAGATAGGTTATGGATTTCTTGTTGGTACAGTAGTTGTAACAGCTATCGTTCTTGAAGTATTGGCTTATTTGAAAAGATCAGAATCTCTACCTCCTAACTTCCAAGTGGACCCCGTTGGAGAAGCTTCATTTCCAAGTAATCGAGCACTTTCTTTCCTTTATTTTCATTCCCTTGTTTCATTTCATTCATTTAATAAAAAAGCTGCTGAAAAACAAAACATTTTAGTTCTGTCTAAATTATCTCACTACTTCCATGAAGCAGGGGGAATGTGATTGCTGCTAGTTTTGAACTTCCACAAGCATTGTCAAGTGTTCAATTAAACCAGCACATACGAAATCACGTTGCTGGTTCAAGTTCGGGTATGTGCGGTTCATTTGGATTATTTTCGACATGCCGTGATACTATTTCTGGGTGTGCTTTCCTCGGGTACATATAGATGGAAACTTTTATAACCAGCTAGAAGTTTGCCAAGTTGGACAATACTAATGTTTGGCTTTCTCACTCGAACTTAACGAGATTGAACTCTGTTTTCTTTTTTTCTTTATTGGGTTTCTGTTGGTCAAGAATGTAAATGATGATTCCTAGAGTTATTTACAGCTACATTTTGTATTTCGTAGCTTTTGTGGAGAAATATGCATTGAAATTTACGAATCACACTTTGTTACTTTGTTGAGTGACAAAACAGTACATTCACGACCTTCTTCAAGACAAAGAAGTTCCCGTATTGACCGGAACAGAAGTTGCATTACCAGATATATTACAATTTGCTAAAGATTTTCAGTGTAGTTCAGTGAAACCTTCACAACCAATCAATAATTTGATATAAACTTGCGCTCAGTTAGTAAGAACAACTAAAGTCTAGACTCTTGAACCACTTAAAACGATCAACTCTAAAAGAAGTTTAGGTTTAGAGATTGAGAGCAAATATAATCAAAGCAAGCTTATACTAATATTTATTCTATTATTAAAAAAAAATTAGTATACTAAATTTTCTTTTCATTCTTGAAACAATTTAATATTTCAAACGTCTAAATTTTATCGCGAATATAGCAATATGACATGTACATAATGCATATCCATACACACATATATATGTATATATAAATGCTAGCAAAATACACTGTGATTGGTCTATTTTTTAAAAAGTTAAACCATTTGTCTTGTAAATTGATTGTTTAAAAATAACTTTCATTTTTTTAAAAAAAAACCAATTACAAGTTGAAGAGTGTGTTCAAAAGAGTATAAGAGTATGTTGTTAGCATTTCCAATACTTACAATGAAACATCTATACAAACTCAAAAAAGATAAATCACTACATTAGGAAGTTAGTAGTTACCTTGAGATACTGACAAGCACACTAAATTCAATAACAAGGTTTACTTTGGCTTTATCTATTTAAAAAATAATAATGATTTTTATTAATATGTTCCTTCACATGATTTCAGTAGTAACAATTCAATAACCAGTCAACAAACAAAGAACCACTAACTAAACAAAATATTAAGAAAGTATATACAGCTAAACAAAATTAGTTATCAAAGCCATTGACAATGGTGTAACAAAAAAATAATATTAATTAGAAATGATTCTTTAGTCTGAAACTGATTATATCAAAATTGTCTAACTACGTAAAGGACCAAAACTTTCACCTTGAAGGTGCCTCTGAAACCCCAAAACCGACTGCAATGAAGACTGAGCAAGATGATTAGCATGAATGCTGTTCCACAAGCAACTAACATATTAAAGCAAAAGTAGTTGGTTTCAGTGCATTCCAGGCACTTAAAACTCTGCTTTCAGGGAAAGGAACCAATAAAGTAGGCGGGATAATACCTGATGTTAAAGAAAAGCCTCCAATCCATAGAGACAGTCATCTGCAATATTTCAAGAAATTGAAAGTTTTAGCCAGTCTAATCTGATTTGCATGGTCTAAAGGGTTCATCGATTCAAATATATCAAATTCTGTGGATATAAAGATATAGAAGTGGAAGACCTACCAGAAACCTTTCAAAAGACAGTGCAGCTATAAAACTGAAGCTGATACAGCAGAGCAATTAGTAAATGAATTCCAGAAATGTTGAAATTGTCTCTCTTATGTGAAATTATGAGGTCCTTTACTTCTTTATCCTCAATAATTCTTCTATGCTTCATCAGTGACAACAAAGAACTGTGGATTAAGCAGTTGCAGTACAATCTTTATTAGAAGATAAATTGATAGACTTGGTAGCATGACTTCCTCTAACTACACGGTTATAAATAACCTTAAATGACTGAGAGCCATGAGGTCGAGTAAGCAAACTTATTGGCATTCTCAGAGTCTGCTTTCGATTTCTTCTTCCCCGAATCAAAATGCTGAAGGTTTTCTCACCATCCATGTTTGTTTCACTACTGCTAGTGTTGCCAGTTGAACCAATGTTATGATCTGGGTTGCTCCCAGTATTTTCAGTCCCGTGAAAATTTGGAGTGCCATTTTGTTTTACAGTTTCTGAACTAACTCTCACTGCTTCATTTTCACTTCTCTCTGATTCTAAACTTTCTACCTCTTTATTGTAATCCCCAACATTATCAATGTCCTCAGGAAGAACTGAAGCTGAACCTGGACTTTCAGAACCATGAAACAGAACTTGTGACTCTGAAATGGGATCAGGGATTGGTTCAACCATCGGTATTGGAAGAGGAAATTCCACAGGATGACAACCAGGCCAAACAGCACTAGGACCAAACTTAGATATGGTGGGGTTTAAATTACATTGCCATGTGAAATGATTGCCATGAAAGGCACTGCTAGTGACTGGAAAGTTGCTATTTGATACTGATTGAGGTTGAGTATAAGGAGGATAGATAAAAGGCAGTGGCTGTATCATGTTTGGTGTTGGTGGTGGTGATGGATATGCATGGTGAGCAGAGGAGCACATTGGGGTAACAGTGGGTAGCACATTAGCAGGTCCAGGGTGAACATTCATGTTTACTGGCCAGGGGCCAATTGCCGGAACAGCAGCAGGACCAGAAGGAAGAGGCATATTCATGGCAATTGGTGCAGCACGTGCAATGGCAGGTGATGGATTGAATGGGGCTGCAGATGCAGACAATTTCTTATATGGGATGCTCCCAATATTGCTCTGACTTGATGGTGATAAATTGACCCTTAAATCCTCACCACTCTGTGAAATGGTATTTGTACTATCACTAGGTTCTGAACTTCCTGATGAATTACTCACGTCAAATTCTTGTTTGTAAGAATCCTCTGGATTGTCAACTGCATGAATCAATAAGCTTTTATCAACTGCTCCTTGACCCTCGATGTCTCCTGATTGCCCCTCATCAGTCCTAGAATTACCTTGCACAGCATCAATGAAATGAGTTTCCTCATTCCCCTCAATAGCAACTTCAGCACCATCTTGTGAATCATCCACAGAATCTGATAAGGAATCATCATACTTTTCTTTAACCGTATCATTTACCTCTTTCAGGGTTAGATTAACATTTCTATCAGCTTCAATATCTTCCTCTTCATTTTTGCCATCGTTATGTTCACAGCTAACAGGAATCTCACCTTGAGGATTATAGACCTGCAACTTGGAGATTGTCCCTGGAGGAGCCAAGGCCACTTCCTTGTATGAAGGAGATTTTCCAATGCTAACTATAGAATTCTTAGCTGGATTAACATCATTAGGATCAGATTCTGAGAGAGAATTGAATAGCTTGTCACCATTTTCTATTGTCTCATTTGCACAAGTCTTGGAAGTCAAGGGCATGGACTTGACCCTGTATGTAACAGCTTTGACTACTTTCCTTCCAAACTTTGTGCCTTGGGTGATGTTTACATTATGATTATCTGTATAACCCACATGAGATATTGTCCGCTTCTTCAAGAAAAAATACCTACTATTCTGATTAGCACTCCTTGCTAAAGGATATTCTGTACTAACATCCACATTCTTCTGATAACTATAAACTTTGCCAAGTGTTGCCCGTCTCTGCTTCAGTCGCCGGATGTATGAGCCAATTGATCTTGGTCTTTGAACTGGTTGCCATCCATCCTCTCCATCAGCATGTGCTTCAGACAAGATTTCACCATAAATTTGTGGCTTTTCGTCTGAAATCTTTGTCAAAATAGTCTGTTCAGAATCAGGTGCAGAGTTGCTCTCCTGCTCGGAATCTGCATTACCTACTGATTCAGGTATTGGTAGCTCTTCTTCATCTGAAGCATCTTTTCGAATTTCTTTTGATGACTCGTCAGAACTTGTCGTGCCAATGGTTTTATAGGATGTTGCTCTCACCTGCCAATTAATTAACAAATATATATACAATTGTACTACAGAAAATGTGGATGTATGCAAAAGGCAGAACAAGAAGCCAGTTCACACAATTATATAAAGATGTAACAGTTCCAAGGTAAGAAAAATTGCCTCCACTGGGTATATCCATTTATGAAACCTTAGTTACTTCCTTCTCAAAATAAATTGGATTAATTGCCAATGGTAATTATAAATCAGGCAATTTTGTTTTCCCTAAATGTCAAAAGACTGAAACTATGAGTTGAACTTATCAGGATCAGTGAATCAGTAGCATACCTTTGTTATCTGGCTTCTTCTCTTTGATGCTGCATCTCTTCCTTTAGCATCGTGATTAGGATTAATGTAGTCAAGCAGATCTGACACGCTGACAAATTCAACAGAAATATAAGGTTATGATTACAAAAGGTATCCGTAAATGCCACGAATATCACAATCTGTAGATATCAATATTTTTTTAACAGAAAACACACACTCCAATGTTGACAAATCAATATATGAAGCGCACACACATAAAATAAGATTTGTATCTGTTTCAGGCACGACTCTGAGTCACATGCAGATTAGACTATGCTGTTTGCAGTGTCTATATATGTGCAGTGTCCATGTCTAATGTTCTTAGAATTGTCACTTTGAAATTCTAGATGTCCGTGATTGCAGGATAAGTACAGAAAAAGTTCTTTACAAGTAACAAAATTGAGCTGTTTCCACCAGCCATCAGAACACCCAGACCACTGAATCAAAGACAGTCAACAAGAAACTTCAAAGAATGTAACAACCACAACCTTTCATACCAAAATTACATACTACAATTTCTAATATGAAAACTTAACAGAGTTCTTCCATTAAAAGACACCAAACAAAATGTGCATGATGGTAGTAGAACATCCTGATGAAGCAATCAGTCGATAAAATATCATCAGATCCACATTGCTGAGATTAATTTTACAATACCTTAGATGGCCTTTGCTAGCTATTGATGCATCAGGTTTTCGAGTACCATTTCGAGCAGCCTCTTGCTGCTCAAAAGCCTTGGATTCAAAATACTCAAGCCAAGCTGCAGCATCCTGTCGAATTTATCAAAAAAACTGTAGATTATGCAAACAGTTACAATTCTCCATGCATTTTTTAAGAGAAAGAGAAACCAAGACTATTAAGAACACAGAACACCATCACACATAATCATAATGTAAGGTACAAACAATTTAAACACTATTCTACAACATCAAGACTTCAATCTATCAACTATATTACTTTTAATTACAAAGCTGTATTCTGTTATGTTTGTTGTAGCATTATATTCTAAACCAACTAACAACCGTTTTAGGCGCTAGTAATAAACTTCAATATGACAGTATACCTGTGTACGCAGGTCATCAGGGCCAAGTTTTGCTCGCAGAATTTGCAAAGTTGTTTGCTCATGCTGCACACTCAATGGATATGCTTCCATCAATGAGAGCGCTATTGCTATTGCATGATAACTGGCAGCTGTCTGCAGAGAATAAACATCCAAGAACATGCAAGTGTTATAACAGATGAGAAGTTTCATTAAATAAATAATACAAGTTTTAGAAATTTCTTTAAGATCTGAGATATTTTACAAATTCAAATCATTATAATAATTGAAACAAGTACTGAAAATATCAGCCTTTAATATGAAAGGAAAATCAACATTTTCAATCCATCAAACTAACAAATTTTCAAAATTATCTACCATCGAACTTAAATGCTATTTATTAGTTATGCCAAAGGTGTAGCTCACTAATTCATACACTGCTGAGAATTCCAAGTTATGAAACATTTAAAAGAGCATTTAAGTACACCATTTGATATAAAATTCATTCAAAATAAACAAATTGTCATAATTTGTAAAATCAGGAAATAAAATGAATAAGACCTGAATATGATCTGCCCCAAGTAATCTTTGGTTGCACTTTAAAGCTTTGTGAAGATATCTGAGAGCAACATGTACATTTCCCAGACCTTCTTCCATCATAGCCACATTAATGTAAGTAGCAGCAGTGTTTGGATGAGATGAGCCACATGTCAGGTGCAGAAGATATAAAGCACGCTTCACATACCTGATTGCATATTGAATTAATAAAAAGCAAAATCAGAAGAAAAATTGAAATTAACAAATTAATATGCCAAAAATTTAAAACCCATCTATACAACATTTGAGGTGATTGACAAATAAATTTTTCTGTTAAAGAAGAAAAAGTAAACCTACATTATCCTATCAAATACAGCCGAAAGTAAGAATACTAGAATATCCAATCCTCCTCTTTCTTACACTTCATTTTCTCTCTAGATAAATTCTTCATTTTCAAATTAAAAGTTTAAGCAAGTATTATATAAATTCAAAAACCAAACTAAACTTTAAAAACCCACTCAAAAATTTATGCATCATTATATTGTACTAAAGCAAACATACTTAAGAGCCAGCTCTGTGTGTTGAAGCCTGTAATAGAAAACTGCAAGATCCCCATAGCTCTTCATGGTATCAGGATGATCCAGACCTAACTCTCTCTCATTGATATCCAAAGCTTTTTGTTGATAAATTGTAGCCTGTAATTAAAGTAAACGACTTAATGAATTAAAATCCAATCCTGGAACTTTAATAAGACAAAAGTAGTAGACTATATATTTTTGGCAAAGGTGCATATAAACGATGGCTGAAATATATAATTAAAATGTCAATTGACCATAGGGCTGACTAAAAATCTAATATTTAATGAATCCATCACATCTTGGGCGAAGTCCATATAAAAAAATTCTCCAAATGTTTGCTTTGGACTTCACTCTTCCTCAACTTTTAATTGGATTATCTTCCATTTGATAAAATGTAAACACTTGAGAATATGGAAATTTTTTATTGATGAACATAATGGATAGATTGAAGTGCTTATTGGTTACGGAAGAAACAATGGTCACCAATACCAAAACATTGAGACAAATAGGACCTGATTGAAGTCTCCAGTATGATATAAAACTACAGCAAGGAGGCTGTATGCTCCTGCCGTCATCCGATGGTAGGGACCACATACTGCTACCAGCTTAGCAAGAGCCTGTCACCATTGAATTATACCAAATATCAGTACAATTCCAAAATGAAAGGTATTGACAGTTGGAAAACCTTTTCAACACAGTTTGAAGATTTCCAAACAAAGATGTGGGATACAGATACCTTTGTGCCATAGGTAACTGCATCCTCAAGCTTTCCCTTGTCTAAAGCAGTTTTGGATGACTCTAGGAGCTGCCTTCCATCTGCAGAGGAGCATGCTGCTTGCTGCAAAGTATAAGCATGAGCATTACATACAAAGTTTGGATCTATTTAACCTACTTCAAAGAAATATGCAAGAGAACCTATAATTAACTTGACATGTCTTTTGTGTTACCTTGTGAACTGGGACCAAGCTGACAATATCAGATTTGTGGAAGGGAATCGCAGAATCCATATCAAAATCCCTTGGAACAAGCTCAATTCCCACCTAAAATAAAAAGTTATGATATGAAACAAAACTGTCAATGATCAACTACTCAGTGTCAAATGATAGTCATAAATATGAATAGTGACAATATTCAAGCAGAAAATGGAAACTAGAAAAAATATAAATGCATGACTATATAAAACCACAATCTATAATGCAAGAGCAATAAACAACAGGAACTTTGAATTCTACTGAATAGTTCTAGATTCCAGTACCTTGTGACACAAGCCACGTAAAATTGCAAATTTCCTCACATCTTTGTAATTCAACCTGTTCAGATCCCAATCAAATCGTTTCTTCAAAAACAACTCTAGCCATTTCCACACTGAGGGATAAACTTCATCTGATTCTCTATTTTCAGGAACACCTAGCAGCAAATTCAGTGCACCAGCAATTGATGAAGCCATTTTCTCCTTGTCGACAGCAGAAATCACTGCCCGCAAGATGTGCTTAAAAGCTCGAACTATCATCTCATGAATACAAAGTGATTGCACGTGTGAAAGCTTTTCTGAAAGCTTGACCTGTCAAGAAAAGCAAAAGGCAAATATCAGAAAACATAAAGAAGGATTACATAAATGATTCTAAACCAAGACACAAAATCCCCCTTAAAACCTTTAAAAAAGATGTGTCACAGACTTAAAGAATAAAAACACATACTTTAATGCAAATAGAAAGAGAAAGTGAACTAATCTGTTGAAAAATCTGACTGGCCAAAATATATTGTCTCTAAGTCATATTTTCAGAGCTAGTGATACTATGATAGAGATATCAATGAAATTGGACAACTGCATTTCATGAATTTGGACTGTAGAAGAAGTTTGGAAAAAGGAACAAAATACTCAACCACAAAGGACAGTTAGGGCAGAAAAAATGGCTTCCTATTATAGATGTATTATTATAGCTGTATAAAGTGAATAATTTTAGAGCACTCACAACATGTCCAAGAGAACGCATTCGTAAACCCCTAGTATGCATAAAATCTGTTAGAGTACGGCCGTCAACTGGTGAGAGTTCCAATGAGCCAAAATCTGCTACCTGTATTGCACAATTAAGACTACAATAAAACTGACCAGTCTTATTAACCAAAATGCCTTGCAAACAATCAACAAAATAAAATTATATCCTTACCAGTTTCGGGAGAGCAACATCTGTGTAATATTTTCGAGATAAGTCAATCAAATCTTGCATGGACTGTTAATGACAAGAGATAACTGGGTTCAGACACTTGATTAAAATGGTTTGGCTCGGTTGTTACAAATCTTGAAAATGCTTTGTTAAACCTAGAAGACTGACCTTGCAGTGAAGTCCAGTTCCTGATTCTTTTAATCTGCCAAAAGCTTCCTCAGATAATATCCTTTTTAGAACAAGCTCATTCTCAGCTGCTGAAGTTTCATGCTGAGATTCAGCCGAGGGAAATGAAGTACTTTCAGCCTCCTGATTAAATTTTGAATATTCAGATGCAGAATTAGGATTGCTTGAGTTGGATTTCTTTTTATAAGTCTTTAGTGCTTTAAGGGGTTTCCCAAGACCCTCGACCCTCATTTCATTCTTAGCCTCCTCCAAAGATGGTTTCTTATCTTTTTCAGTACTATTTTGGTCTTGCAAATGTTGTATCCAGCAAGCTCCAAGTTCCCATCTTACAAAATAGTCAATTCCTGGTTCTTCCTCCTCAAGCTTAGCAAGACTTTCTTTAATCAGTCTCTCCACACAGGCATGGGAACCACCAAGCTCTTCACTCTCAAACGTCTGTATCTGGGTCATTGGTTTATTGTTTTCTGGTGTGGTTGTGTTGTGAAGAAGTAATCTCAGACTGCAAGGAACAATTAAATAATTGCAGAACGTATTGTCATGTGATAAGAATTTGATCATCCAAATGAAATTGAAACAGCAGCTATGAAGAAAAAATGACATCTAGAAATATATTCAAAATTAAAAAATAACTTTGAAAGAAAAAACCCCTAGACCTAGAACCAAACCATAAGTGATCCAAACCTTCAAGGAGTACAGCTCAATACATATATCAAAAAGTAATGCAAGCTCAAAACTTCGTGCAACATAACACGTACATCGAACATTCAAAGAAGGCAAAAAAAGAATGAAGGGTTATTTAAGTTTTTACATTGCTAAAGTTAAGAAACAAAACCAAAATATTGGCTAGATTTCATTCCAAAGGATTATTCTCACTCATGTTGTAGATCAAGCTAATAAAAATCACAAATAACAGTATAAATGGGAGAGTGAGAGAAGGAGGGACGGTGCACAACAATCTGACATTAATATTATGTAAGGGTGTAAACTAGTGAGTGGGTAACGTGGAAAGGTTCAGGAACCTGTTAATATTGAGGGCGTTGGCACCACCCTCTGGCTGATCATACAACTCGGTATTTTGATGAGATGGAGAGTTAACAGTTTCATTAATTCCACCCTCAACTTTCACAACGACTACATAACCACAATATCTTACATTGATAACGCCTAAAGTGGTTACATCCTGCGTAGAAAATAAGAAGCATTTATCAACTATATGAAAGAAAAAGAAGCAGCCCTAAATCACCAACTTTTATATATAAAAAAAGCATCATACATGGGCAGCAGTATTTTCATCAGCAGTGATTCCTTTCAGTAGATTTCGTTCTACTATATCCTTTTGATTTACTCCAGTAGCTTCAACTCCATCAATTTTAGTATCAATCTTACAGCTCGCAACAGAACCATCTTTCCAGACTTTGATACTCAAGTCACCTACTCTCTCGGTGTAACTGATATCGTTTTCTGCAACTGAGCAGTTAAAATTGGGCTCTTCCATAACATGTCTAACAGCCCTTATTGCTCTGAAAATTGCAACATCAACAAACAGGCTGTGCAGAAGAAACGCTTTCCTATCTCGAACTTGCCTTTCTTCTGCTGTCTTGCAAGGCATAGATGCAATAGATGAAAACTCATTGGCCCAAGGAACCAAATCATACTTTCCATCTCTTCCAAGACCACCACCATTCCCTCCCCATGTTTCGTCTTCCACAGGAAGAGGAGGAAAGGATGAGGGTGATTGTGTTGCAACAGGAGGAACAAGCCATGTGTTGGCTCTGAAGCCATAGGGGAGATTCCCAAACTGAAAAGAAAATGGAGCATAGAGCAGAAATAAATACAATGTTGATGGTAGTCACTTAGCAAGATTTACATGGACCAATACATGTCAAACATGTTCTGTGGTTCTTTTCATTATTTATAGCAAATTTCGCACTACAAACAAAAAATGAAAACAAACCCAACGTTGTTCAATACCTTGTTTCGTTCTGAAAATGCCTTCAAGAGATCATCGAAAGCCTGAAAATTAACAGTTAAAATTTGTAATTTTACTAAGTCATAACTAACGTAAATCGCATTATACATATAATACCGTCAGTAGGAATGTTGAAACCGTGTCAACTTGAAATCTATATCTTTTTTTGATCTCCCATACTATATTGCACATCAATATCTAAACATACATTAAACTTGTACCGAGTTATCCATTGTAACCCAAAGTTGCCTCTAAATCAGCCAAAGCAACAATTAAAATTACTGTATACCTCACACGTAATGAGTTTATTAAATTAAGCTAGGAAATCATACTGAGCTAATAACTTATTTAATAAAACCATATGAAATGATTAATAATTGCATATTAAATTATACAGGTAATATGAGTTTATTAAATAAATACTTAATTAAACTGATTACCTAAATGCGTCCTCAATAAACATTGAATTTAATTGAATAGTAAAAAAAAATTACACCACTATCCAATCAAGATTTGTCATGTAATTAAAGATGGTTAACTTTTCTAACAGTTACTTAAAAATTCTATCTAATGTAATTTTTAATTAATTAATGATGAAAAAATAGTTATCGACAATGTATCAAAATTATATAATGAAAAAAAATCCTCAACTCTAAAAGTTTTGAACAAAGCAACCCAGATAACATTCTCCCCTACCAAATTATATATTTATTATAATGATGGTTGGCTAATTATTTTAATCGTGGGTTTTAAATATAATACATACTAAAATATGATATTTAAAAAAAATTATAAAAATATAAGATTCAAAAATCGTCAATAGACATAAAAGAATAAAAGGTTATGAAGTATAAAAATTGTCATTAGTGATTTCTTAAAAATTAATTAAAAAATTAAAGTAAAAAAAATTCATTAACAATTTTTAAAATTTTTTCATATATTTTGTAATTCCGTCTAATTTTGATATCTTTTCTTTTTTCATATAAAAAAATCATGATTATTTTAAAACATGCTTCTTTATACCGAAAGAAAATAAAACACACTTCTATATTATTTTCCAATTACAAACTATCATAAGTTAAAAATTAAAATTTTATAATAATTATTTTAAATATAATATTTTAATTTCAAATTAATTAATAATGTTAATTATACTCTAATTATTGTAAGCACAAGACAGGTAAAAAGAAAATTGGATAGAAAAACAAAACCGAAGGTGACTAACATCATCGAAAGCTCTGCTATGCTGTCTCAACAAATCAACAAGATTATGACACAGAATCCGATGCTTCCCAACGCTGTAAAATCCCTTTCTGCAAGCCTCAACATGCACCACTTTCCCGTTACACAGCTTCACCTGCGTCACATCACAACAAACAAACGCGCGTTTCAATTCATCATTTTCCGTTCCCCTAATACCTTAACGCGCAACCACAAATTCAATGGCGAAATCCTCACATCGAGCGAGAACAGATGATCCGCCTCCGATATCTCCTCCACGCGCCGCCTCGAAGCCTTCTTCACATCTGCTTCGATTCACACACTCCGTTATCGACACAGAGTAATACAGTTACACTGAATAGAGTGCGAAAGAGGATGAAAGAGTGTAGTACATTGGAGAGGAGCAGTGAGGTGAGAGAGTGAGAAAAACTCGTAGAAATTCTCCAGCTTAGGGCACGAGTGGCTTATCTCTCCATCTACGTCCGCTGCCGCCACCGCATCTTTCGGAGGTTGCTTCGCCGGCGGCGATTGAGGCGTGCCGGACTTCGGCACGGTGGCGGCTGCATTTTTCGGAGGCGGCAGAGACGACGGACCGAAGCTGGTGGTGCAGGCGACGATGTCGAGGAGTCTTCGCACGTGCGCCACTGCTCGATCTTCATCGTAATCCTCTGCATGTATGAAATTTGAATGAGGAACAAGATGAGTACAACGACGTCGTAAATGGTAGTTCTTTTTCTTTTTCGTTGAAATAAAAAAGTACTTTTTCTTTTTAAAAAAGGAACGATAATAATAATTTAATATTAATAATAATATACTATATAATGTAATATACCTTCAACTAAAGTGAGGACGCAGGGCTTCAGTGCGGACACGTCCCCCGTGTCCTTCAAACGGGCCCCTCGTACCTGTATTGTTATAAAAAGGGTTTGGTGATAGAAATATATAAATTAAAGAAAAAGTTAATCATGATTTAATGTTAAATTTAAACTAACGGTTAAATTACTTGAATTAGTCAATTCTGGATTAAATTATATAATTATTGTTGAATATTTTATATTTCATCAAAACTTTATATTTGCCTAATTTTTATATAAATTAGCTATTTTTTTAACCCATACAATATTACACATTAAAAGTTATGTATAATAAATTTTATTAAAATTATAACATTTAATATTATCAGTGTATTAAATTATATTGAATTATATTATTTTAATAAAAATTATATATAATCTTTTACCATGTGCTATTACAAGTGCTAAAAAAATTAAAATTACTGTATGATGTCATATAATTCAGCAATATTATTTCATAATCAAATCGATTAAAAGTAAATAAAAAGTTAGATAATTCAATTTGAACAATATTTCAAAGAAGCAGGAAGTATGGATTGCATTTTAATTCATCTATTATGAAATTCTAAATTTTTTAATATTTTACATCAAAATTCAAACTTGGTTATGAAAAAAATCCTACCTCTCTTTTATATGAACATAATTCAGGATTTATTTTTGTACCTTTGAAAAAGATTTATCATTCATAATTTTATGAGGCTGATATTTATTGGTTGATTTGGGGATTGGTTGTGTCACCCAATATACCAAACGTACCAATTTCCTTTTTGTTTGTATTTTCTCTGAGATGACGATGTTTGCTTTCTATTGGTTATCTATGTCTAGCCTTGTCAAAGAGATATCAAACATGTTGACATTAAATACGGCAACGTGTATGATCTCCCAAGCTAGTGGGTTAGAATTAGAAATGTGTAAATGGTTCCATTATATAGCAATGATTAAATAACTGAAAATTTGAAATTATAATAATTTGAATTATTAATTATGCTATAAAATTAATTTACCTCATGCGACAAGGAAAAATTTGTGATAAAGCATGTCTCTGTATTCACCGATAAAAGCCGACGAACATCTATTATTCTGTCCGTTGATATTCCCTGCTTCAAAATAAAAGAAGCCAAAATTTTAATCATTTAAATTTGTATTTTGCATCAATTTATGTGACTAAAAAAACAATAATAAAGTGGTTCTCAAGTTATGCGTAAGACGATTAGCTTTCAAGCTGGGTTTGTTGTTTTCTTCACAATCAAGTGATTCATATTTTGTCAATAAGTTTATACAGTCATAATGACATTCCAGAGCCACGCACTTGTATTTATGGACATTATGCAACAAGTGCACGCCTCTATATACGATGCAAAAAAACAAACCAAAGCTTAACGTGAATCACATGTTTAGAAATTAGGACTTTTGTTGCTTGTTAAGCCTCACAATAGAGATGGCCAGTAGAAATAATATGTAAAGAAAACAAATAAGAATTTTTAAATGGAAAAGTGAACTAATGGCTGGCACTTATGTTTAATCTTATAATTATAATAATAAACTAAGAAGCTTAAAGTTCAGCACTAATAGGAACAATCTAGCAAAAGATACCTATGAAAATCACAACAAAACACACATGAAGTTGTTGCCATTAACTAATGCACCCAAAAAAAAGCCACCACAAGGCTGGAAAATTAACCCTTTTTTTTCAACAACAAACCTTGAGAACAACACGAGTTTCATCGGGAAGGTTCACAGTGATATCCAAGACAACAGGAAGAACTGCAAATAATCAAAACGAAAAAAATAAATAAATTAAGTGAAACACAAGCTTTAAAAACTGTTTAACTCATAATTAATGGCACAAGAAGAATCATTCAGATTTAGAATTTCATTACCCTTTTCTTCCTTCTTCTTCTTCTCTCCCTTGGCCTTTCCACGACTGTTTCTTGGTGCCATTTCCACTCCTTTGAGATTGACAAAATATCGAACTTGAACCTTTCTGGCACATAGTATACACAGAAGCACAAGTTAACGATTCATGGAGCACACATATTTTTATAATTACAAATATATACATCAATTATTCATTATATGCAAAGAAATTTTGTACTCCATATGTATACATATAGGTGTAAATTGAACTACAAAAGAATTTACCAGAGAATAAAAAGCAGGTATTGCTTTTATAGGAGTTGGGTAGTTGAATTGGATTATAAGAGAGAAAGAGAAAGGCCTTTAATGCATAGTTGTTGAGTTTATAACCAAAGTACTAAGTAACTAGATAGGAATAAAGTAAAAAGTGAAAATGAGTGTTTATGCAAAGAAATGGGGTACTTGAGACTTCAAAGGGGTTTTCGTGTTGGAGCTCTCATCCACTAGAAGGAAGAAAATTGATAGAGGAAGAAAAATGGCAGAGGGAAACAGAGATATAGATGGGAGGGTAGTATGATAAGGAAGGAAGGGATGAGATTCAACGGTCAGAATGATAAATTGGCATTTTATGGCAGCTTGCTTATACAGGTTAATTATTATTTTGTTTTATATGCATAATATTTTTATAAGCATTTTTTAAAAATTTAATTTCGTGAATAATCTAGTTCTAGCATTTTTATTTATTTTTATTTATTTTTACTTTTGAATACTGTAGCATCAATTTGGTGGACGTGAAAAGGGGACCACAGCATATATAGTAGGGTCCACAGCCCACACATGGAAGCCTAATTTGAGTTATAAATTCTAATTAAGAACTTAAACAATGAAAGAGTTTTCAGTTACATAAGGTTGAATTTGCATTAGAAAAAATGGGTTTTTATTCATTTTCACAATAAATTCAGAGATAATTGTAATGAAACGACAAACATTTTATTCTAGGAGCATGGGCCTGGATTTGAAATAAGCAAATTTTTTTTTCTTTTAAAAAAATGATTGTTTCCTATTGTTTTTGAAAAAGAAAGAATCTCTTGCCATCTATGAAAAAGTTTCTGGGAAATGTGAGTTGTTTGAATTTGAAATATCTAGTAATTTGGCAATCTGAGCAAAATTGGAGGAATTCGTAAAATTTTAAGACAAGGACTTGTTTAAGTGCAAGTGGAGTGTTAAATTGGAAAAAAAATTGAAATTATTTGATCGTTTAATATGATTTGGTCTAATTTATTAAAATATTATGTTTCCAATTTAGAGTGTGAAAACTGTTTAAAAAAATTTACTATAATAATAAATTTTAATCAGATGATTATATATAAATAATCAAAATTAATATTTTTGTTAAATTTAAATATTTTTTAAAAAATTATTTTTATAATAATTCTATTCGACTCAAAAAGAAAATTATTTTTTCTATGTAATATATGTGATATAAACAAAAATATTAATACATTCTTTTTTATTATTATTTACTTAAATTAATAATTTACATGAATTATGGCATTTAAATTGTATATATATATCAATTAAATGGTTAGTTTGAAAAATTAAACTAACGTTGCGTTTGTGTTAAGTAAAATGAGAAGAGATAAAATAGAGTTGTATGAGGTAGTTTGATTGAATTGAAATGGATGAGTGAAATAAAAAATTTAGTGGACTTCACTCTTTCATATTTCATATTTACAAATGTGAAAATTTCATTCTCTCTCTTACAATTATTTTTATATTTTTTATTCATTAAATAATATTTATATGATTACAAAACTATTAAAATATTAAAATCTAAAAAAATTAAGAATGTGATAATAAAAATTATAAAATTTTAGATTAATTTTATTTTTTATATTATTTTTAATACAGTTTAATTATTAATGTATAACTTTTTTTTTTGTCATCCCTCTCTAAACATCCCATAAGAAAACACACTGTGAAATTCAATAACAATATCCACAAGAGTATTAAAAATATCTTTGAGATTATTAATAATGTAAAGTGTGATATTCAAAGTTTAAATACATTTAATTAATTAATTATTAACAATGAATTACATGATAAACTTTTATATATATAAAAATTTAAGCCTGAAAATATATTCTGTCAAATTAATAATTTATTTTCCACAAAGTGTATGTTCAAATATTTTGTATTAGAACAGTTATTGAAATTTATAACACTTTTCATAGGAGTGTAAGCAAAACGTTTTCTCATATGTTTTTAGTTATGGATTAAAATTTATTTAAATTATAAAAAAAATAATACGAATTTTTTATTTTTAATTTATTAATGTTAGCTTATACTTTTATAGTTTTAAATAAAAATGTTAAAAATAAGTATATTGTAAAGGATATTTCTAGCACTTCTTTATAGGTAATTGTTCCTTTCAATTTCAAATATAAGAAAAACAACTAAATTATATTTATTAAAAATTAGTTAATATCATTTAATGTTTTTAACTTAATCTAAAAGCTAAAATCCATCTCTAACATACCCTTCATATTTATTACACAGAATAATAAATCACTTACGAATAATTTAACTTTTTGTTAGTATTAAATAATATAATTGATAATTTAAGTTCTTATGTCAAAAGTAAAAACTTATTTATAAAAAGAAAAAGTTAAATTTTAGAAATTTGTTTTGAGTAAAATTTTATCTTATCATTTTGAAAGTTATATAAAATTATCGATGTCATATATCATAAATAAAAAATATTGTAATAAAGTTAATTAAAATTTACTTATATTTTAAACCACTAACTTCAATTTAAATTTATTTATATTTTAAAAAGCAGAAGTATGTAGCTAAACGTTGTATGTATAAGGCTGAGTAACCGTAAAATATGTATCTTACTAATAGAACTTGACAGTGGTAATTAATGTTTAAACAGGGAATTCAATAAAAATTAGAAGGATAAAAACTTGTAATCACAAGTAATCGAAAAGTCCGCAGTATAAATTACAAACATTGCAAGAAAATTCAGGTGTATGTCGTTTTTAGCCTTTTAATTAGGAAATGTTCTTTCTACTTTTAATTCAATTTTTTCTCAATATTTGTGATTATTTGATTACATGCTTAATTAGTTTGGTTGTGCGTGGTTGAATAAACACTTAATTCTCAATAAAATTAAAAATCTCAAAATAATATTTTTTTTCTTAAACTTTTGTATAGAAATTGATTATTTAGAGATATTTGGTAGATGACTTCGTTTTCAAAATGTTAAATTTTCATATTCAATACAAAATACTTTAAAAGTATTCCCCCAAAAACTAACATTCTAAAGAAAATTAATTCAGTTTTCTAAGAAAACATAATTATGGTAGAATTTGCAGTTATTATAATATAATATAATATAAACTAATTTTTTTATATAATTTTATTTTACAAATGTTCTCATATTATAATTTTATTTTATTATTTAATTTAATATATTTTTAATATTTAAATAAACATAAATTTAATTAATAGTATAAATAAAATTTATTAATTATTATATAAAGTAAAGAAATATTTTTAAAAGAATCATTCATATTCCTAAAAAATAATATTTAAATAAAAAATGTCATCTAAACATTCTCAACAATTATTATATAATCTTTTAAAAAATATTTAAGACATATTAAATATATTTTTAACATTTTTAAAAAATAAACCTCTCAGAAAATATAACTTGTAGAAAATTTCACACGGTAAACATTCATTTGCTTAAATAAATTTCTGCTAAAAAAAGACAAAGTGCATGTGAGAAACAATGAAGAACTTATCTTTATTAAAGAGTTTTTACAATTTAATGTGAAAATGTCTCGTAACAACTAAAAATTTGATCAGTCTTAAAAAGTTTAAACAATTTATTTATTAATAATTAGCTTCTGAAAATAAGTTAGGCTGACCAATATTTTTAATACCATTCAACGTGATTTCTTTTGTTCACTTTTAAAAAGTTAAAACGTTACCATTATATCAAGCTTAAATTTGATTATTCTTCTATAAAAAAATAAAAATTTGATGGATTAACTATTCAAATTGCTATGATAACTTTTATTTCTAAAAAGAAAAAAATCCAATTAAAAGTCAATGAACATTCGAGGTTCCAAACTTGCACGTTTGATCTGACTAGGAAGTCGTGTTGCATGTAAGTGGATAACCTACGATTCTCTTGAGAATGATATGTGGACAATTTGTTGCAGATTATTACATATTTAATATTTTTACTCATTAAATTGTTAAAAAGTAAAATTATTTTCATGGTGTTCTGTGTTAACATGCAATTTATAATTTGTATGTTTAAAATAATAGCGTTTTTGTTTTACAAATAGGCAGGCTATTGCATATTGGTGGTTTTTTTTATTATTATTATGATAAGACAATTTAAAAATTTATCAAAATAATATATTTAAAATTTAAGTTATTAAAACAAATAAATTTAATATTATTAAATAATACTAAAAAGAACAAGTCACTTAGTCACACTCTAATATACAACTCATAGTAAGAGTGTTACATATGGGAGGAAGATATTACATGTTTCATTATGAAGTGTGACGAGTTTTGAATGTAAGTCTCACACTAGAATGCAATATGTATAACTGTCTTAGTATATTACCCATTTTAATTTATTTTACATGTTTGAAATTCACAGTTAACACATTTTATACTATTATTTATTGTTAAATTTTATTTTTTAATTTTTTCTTATTTTGACCAAATTTTAAAAAAATTAAACATTTTACATTAATTTTTTAAAAGTCCATTTTTAATATTTCTTTCATATAATTAAAATTATAATTTTATTTTTTATCTCATTTTAATTAAAAAATTTTGAATTCAAAATTTAATTTTAAACTTTAGTTAATGTGAGAGTTGAATTTAAATTTTCAATTCAAACTCTATCAAAAATAAAAAGAAAATTTAAATTAAATATATTTAATTTAAATAAATTTCTAGAAAAAAGTGAACTTGGTTGAATTTAAATTTGACAAATTTTAAAGAATGAATAAATTATTTGGCCTATCAAAAATGTTAATTATATTATTTTAGTTTTTTTTTAAAAAAGTTGTGTAGCTTGATTCTTAAATTTGTCAGCTTGCTAATAAAATTTATGGGCTGAAATTTTTAACTTGTTTATAAATTCATCTTTTTTTTGTTGGAAAACTAATTTGTACATAAAAAAAATAAAATTAAAGCAATACAAATATTTTTAACTTGATTATGTACTTTACACATCGAATCTGCAAATACCATTTGCATAATAAAATAATAAGTTAATTATTTTTTGTCTAGATTTCATTCAGAAGGTTAAAATTATGACAATACTTAAAAATTTATGAGTTTAAACATGTAATAGAAAGTTTTTAGGAAGAAGTACATATTTATTACATCAAAATTATAAAAATATTAACAAATAAAATTTTCAATTAAATTTAATTATTATTAATTGTTTATCCTTGATGTTACAAATTTTTTAAAATTTATTTCAAAAGATGTTTAT